CACTCTTTCCTTCGCCTTTTTCGGGGATTTTAGCCTTCATTTTATTTTTCGGATTTGGCTTGTTTTTTCTGCGTTCTCCTTGTTTTCTCTTGTTCTTTCTCTCTTTCATATAGATTTGGTCATTTTTTTCTCTACACATTTGAAAATCGTGATTTGAAAACAAAAATGAAACCACATTTTATGCATTTTTGTGAAAAAAACCCGAAAAAATATTCTTCGGAATCCACAGTATGGATATCAGATTTAATTTGAATTTCAGTTCACATTTCTTATTAGTCATTGTATTGGCCCATATCCAATTTTTGTTTTTCGCTTGATACGATCGTGCTGAATTCATTCGATTTTGTGGCAATTCGTTCTGGTTTTTATTTTTCACTTATTCTTCGTCTTTCGCTCATGCATAAATCAATTTTGGTGGCTCTTATGCACTCGTTTTTTTCAATGCTTGTATGCGAGAGAGAGAGTTGTGTGGATGAGTTTTGTAAGAAATTGATGAAACTCACTTGTTCAGCAAAATTCGAAATGAATACGAATTTAATATTGAAGTTGCGAAAGACGACAAACGAAAAACAAGAAAAAAAAAATCGAAAGAAAACAACAACAACAAAAAAACAGAAAAAAAATTAGAGGCGAATGCCCAAGAAATATGTATGTATGAGCAATACAATAAATGATGAAACAATATATTCGAAACAAAAGTGTCGATCATCGGCAATCCAATGTATAATTTGATGCTTTTACATTTTATGCATACACAACCAAAGAAGGGAAAAAATGCGCGCAATACTATGTACATTGTACACACACACACAATGACCAAGAGAAACGAGTTAACAGTAATCATAGAAGAAAAAAATAAAATTGCCGATTCAGCGTATATGCAGAGCGCTCATAATTCGATTTGGTGAGTGATTCAACCACAAACAATTATGTTGCCGTGTGGCAAAATACAATATTGGACAGCAGTAGCAGCAATTTATATAAGGTGCACAAACCAACATCAATGATTTCGATGGATATTGTTAACAATTTTTCTTCGGTCGGATTCAGCTTTGGTTTTATGTATGTTTCTTTTTTTTTTATTGTTTTCTCTTTCTACTGCTGTTGACATTGTCTCTTATATACTCGTAAAATTCAACAATCCACATGATCGCATCACAACACCACCTTTACCATAACCACCATTGATGGTTGCGAGCCAACTCTTCGCCCATTTTCTCGATTTAATGCAGCTAAATGTGGTGGGTGATGGTTTCGGAAAACCCCCGAAAAGAACGGAACTCACAAAAGAAGCATAGAATTAATGAGAAAATGAAATTCACAATCATTTTCTCCCTATCTCTTTCGGCCACCAAGCATATCTAAATGGGGATTTGTTTTGCTATGTGCGGTTGCTTGGCAACAATTCAATACCTATAAAAATTTATAAATATATATAGAAACTAAATCCATATAGTATACTGTACATCAGCGGGTAGCGCGCGCGAGAAAAGTGCACAACTTTACATGTTTTTCTGTTATTTTTCCAACTTCCATCGTTCGAAACGACGTCAACAACGTTGCTTTGAGCGTGTAGGATGTCAAGTCTCTGAAAACAGCCAAAAGACAAATATAAATAATTTAATGTGTGTAAAGGTACAGTACACAAGCACCGATGATGACGATGTGAATATACGCCAACTATTTCGAATATCACCGAGAAAAAAAGAATGAGAATGAAAGAGTGGAGCGCACGAAACGGAACATACAGAAAAAAATACACATACAATATAATAGAACGACCAAATGAACGGGAGAGACATGGCATGTATTTAATGCTTTCAGCATATTATTCTGCAGATGTGAAATGGTTTTTTTTTTCGTGAAAAAAGCAATTTTTCCCTGCCTTTTTGTACACATTCATTTTTCTTTGCTGTGCTCTGTGCAGGCTTTTTTCGGATTGAGCTCTATTTTTTTGTCCTATCTCGCACTCTTCGTGTTTTATCCATTTGATGGTTCTCGTTTTCGTGTTTCTTTGCCGTTGTTTCTTTTTTCATTCGTTGAGCGCGCGCGCGATTGTAGGTGTGTGTATGCGAGTGGATTTTATTTCGAAAACATAGATGAAACTGGATATTATTATTCTGAATATAGATAAAAAAAAAAACACACGAGAGAATATAAAATCAAGTAATAAAAGGGGAGAACACGAAAATGAAGGTGTACGAGAGAAAGAGAGAAAGCGTATGTACACGAGGACTCGCGCTGAGCTGAATCAAACGAAAAATATTGCTGTTTTAGGAATGCATTATGTATAATGTTCATATGGAGCAGAGCGTTAGGCAGAGAAAAAAAGAAATATAGCGCACAGCAGAGCAAATTGTGTGCACACGAAATATGTAGCAGCATAACCGGAGAGCAATCGTACTCTATATAGAGCCTTTTTGTTACCTCCATAAAATTTCTCAGTCCGAGAGTGTGAGAGAGATTTTTCTCTATATTCGCCATCACTACCGTTCGTTGATTGTGTGTGCCACACCCAAAGTCGCACATTCGATGAGCATTTCAAACAGAACATCGCCAATACGACGACACACAAATTGTATCTTCGATTTTTTTTTTACTTTTATGTCTCTCCCTCTGTCTTTCTCTTTGACTGTTTCTCGTTTTTCTGAATTATGTGTATAGTTTTGTTGTTGCCATTGTTGCGGCTGGTTTGTTGGTTTCACTTCGATTTTTTTTTTCTTTTATTTCTTCTCTTCCTTCGCGATAACAAATGATTTTGACTCTGCTCTCTTGCTTTTGCTCTTCTTTCTATGGCCGCGTCCTCGACTCTTTGTTCGCGCGGATAATGAAATATTTACCTTGATGATTCAACGCAAATGAATTGCGCGTCTAATGGAAAAATTCCTGGAAAAAGCATTATGCAAAATACGTTTGTGTGTCGAATAGCAGTGTGGCTGTCTGACTATGACTTGCGACCCGATTTACCGAAAAAATTAATAATAAGAAACCTGCTAACATGCATTGCGAAACGAAAGGAAAATAAATGAGTGAGAAATCAAATCATATTCTGAAAGTCATAAAGCTCCCCGATTTCGAGCACAGATTGAAATGGTTTTATGTGTCTGTTTTTTTTTTCATTTCGGTGAAACACATAAAGTAAAAAAAATACATGAAATCCACTTTTTGGACAATTTGAAACGAGTCTCTGGCATTTTCTTTTGTTTTCTTCTTCGTTCACGAAACACCTATGCCAAGTTTTACGTTAAATGTGCAAGCAAACTCCCTAAGAGTAGCACCAAGTACTACTGATCAGACTACTTTTACATGAAAGCACTCTTAGATGTAAATGAAATGGATTACACACATTAAAAAATCGAAATGAAATGAAACGAAACGAAGAAGAAGACGATGACGACAACGAAAAAAACCAACAATGACAAAATTCGATGTGGAAGTGTCACTTGTCATGAATGCTAAATCGGATTTTCTATTTCTATGGCATCTTAATTATCGATTTTGGAATGTGTATTACGGTCTCTAAATGAGACGCGTGTGTGTATCATTTACTTAGATAGAGAGAGAAAATATCACTTTGGTGATTGGTGAGGGGCTTTGGCCATACACATACCACACAGGTATATATCTCGGTATGTAATGGCATTCGTGGAAAGAGAGAAGATACGCGATGGAAATTGGAGAAGAAAATATGCATAGCATATACCAGAGAGACGAAAAAGAAATAAAAAAAAACAAAACGGCACTTTGGTTTCATATTTGTGTATTCGGTCATTCGTATCCAATACACGCATCCGATGCAAAAGACTATATGGAATCGAATCCAAACGGAAATGATAGAAGAAAAATTTAATACTTATATTCAGGTATTCCATGCGCGTCTTCATCGCATCGACGTAATTTGAGATTACCGTCGAATGATTAGTTTTTCGTGTGCTCACACTCGATTGATGATTTCTCGATATATCATCATGTATATACTTAAAAGTAGGCGCACATTAAATGAAAGCCGTCCTCATTTGGATCGACCGCTCAAATTCAATTACATGTCGAAACACATGAAAAAGCGATGCTGACGAATGCAATTTACATGACAAAATTTAAATGAAAGGAATCTTCGTTATAATCAACAACAAAAATTACGGTAAAATTCCGAATGAAGAAAAAAGAAGACGAAATCACACACGTATACATAAAGTGAACAATGACGGATGTACGTCAATAATGAAAAAAAAACATCGTTCGTTTGTTTTTAATTATAATTTGCCGAAGACATTGCACTTTGGTGATGAAAAAATGAGCAAAATATTCCACAGAAAATTCAATTCGTCGTCAATAATACACATAAATAAGCTCCGATTTTTTGCATTTCAATGAAAAAGTGAAAAATAAAAAAGTTTCACGAAATCAATACCAAATACAGAGACAAAGACATAATAATACAGACATTCAATTATTTTTGTTCCGTATTAATTCTTCAAAAAGCACACGCAACTTATCATATAGATAGATGATGTTGCTGAAAACGATGAGTTGAATTGATTTTTTTTTTCATTTTGCTTCGATCATTCTCGAGAGATATTTTTGCTCTTATCGCATGCTCTTAACGAAACGGACACAACGAGATATATCGAACGAGAGAAACACGATCGAGAACGTGTGCAATATTATGTGATTATATTTCTCGATTTTATTTTCCAGTTATCACTGAGAATCATATCACTTACAAGCTCTCAATGATATTTATCATTTGATACCTAATTATTTATTGAACACAACACCGATTATAGGTTTGCGAGAAAATACAATGAATATAAAAACTACTTTAACCACTAACATTTGGTTGACGTGGTAACGAAATTGAGCGAGAAAAAAAGCAGCAAGAAAACTACGATTAATATTTGTAATTAAAAACAATAAGATATTTTCTATGTGAAAAATAATTTTGTCACTTATTATGACGAATAGGTTATTGATTCGATTATATTTTTTATCATTTGCAGAAACGTAATGAGTAAACAACGACTTTCGACCGCATCTGAGTCATCCGAATCAGCGGTGGATGCAATGGAAATTGATGACAAACATGAGGGTGTAAACGATGAAACGACGACAAAATCATCGAGCAGTGGCAGAGAAGCAACAACAATGAAAAAATACGAACAAGAAGCAACTGTAAGCGATCGAGAAACGCGACGCACATCGCATGATCGCCGAAAGAGCCGAGGTCATAACAGTGAAACCGACTGTAATGATGCCGATATCGAGGAAAATGAAGCACATAACGATTCATCAACAAATGCAATTGTACGACGAGAGAATCTACGCCAATTGGAAAATAGCATGATTTCGTTGCGAAAAAGTTTTCGATTCGCTGCAAACAATAATGAGCGTGTATCCAATAACAACAACAACAATAATAACAATAACAAAACCAATAATAATAATAAAACAAACAACCATAAACGCTCACAACGAATTGGGAGCAATGAAAACAGCGATGGCAGCAATGAAAATGTTAAAACGACACAGTATAGTTGCCCGATCTGCGGTGTTTGCTCAGCCACACAGCATGACTTCACCGAACACATACGCGGTCACAACAATTCGGATGGAAGCCATAATTATACATGCCAGATCTGCTTTAAGGTAAATTGACAATGATGACGATTATATGATGATTGATTTTTTTTTTTCATATTCGAATGCATCGATCGCTCTTTATTCATATATATATTGTGACTTGACTCCCTGATATTTACTATAAATGTGCAGTCTATCTCATTATTTAACTTAACTGCAATGTTTGCTTTTCTCAGAAAAAAAAGATGATTGCACAACATGCATTTAACGTTTTCCTTTCTGTCTTCATTCGATTTTTTCCCCTCTCTTTTCATCCGTCCTCCCCCATCATCTCTCTGTCGAACCTAAAAAAATTAATGTAAAATTCATGTTTTTGATCATTTTCTGTTTTTTATTTGTTTATTTTTTATACAAAAAAAAAACTATTAGGTAGTATCGTCGGCATCGTCTCTTGATCGTCATGTTTTGGTGCATACAGGCGAAAGGCCATTCACGTGCAAATATTGCCACGTGACATTCACAACTAATGGCAATATGCATCGTCATATGCGTACGCACAAACATCGAGATGGTTTGACTAATAAAGGTGCAGCAGCAGCAGCAGCTTCCGCCATTACAACAAATAATAACAACAACAGCAATAGCAGCAGTGGCGGTGGCCACAACGACCCAAATACAAACGAAACGACAACAACGACAAGAAAATCATCGCATCGACGCACCGGTGGTGAAATATACGAGAGTGATGGATCAACGGATTCAATGGCCAGTGGCTCTGGTACAGATGGAAAACGAAAGAATAATCATCATCATCATGACGATGACAGTTATACATCGTCGATTGGCATGAAACGACGTCTCAAAACGATCAACAATAATAATAATTTAATCAATAACAATTCGATTAATGTTAATAGCAATGTTCAGCCTCAACGATTCTGTTGCCCAGTTTGTGTGCGCAACGATTTCTTAACGATGATTAGCTTAGAAAATCATGTCGATACAGAGCATCCAAGCATTCAAGCCAAGTGCCGTTGCTGTGAAGTCGTTTTCAAAAGTTACAAAGCACTCAATGCACACAAATGCACGGCCGGCAATGGCAATAAAGCACACATTACACAAGGCTTCAAGGATCTCACATTCGTTGATTTTTCGAGCGAAAAATTTCCATTGATTGCAAAAGTTGCATGCGAAAAGAGTATGCGTACTCCGGTCACCAATCAAAAATACGAATGTCCACAATGCTATCGCGCTTTTCCATGTTCGAGTGCGGTTGAAATTCATGCATTGAAATGCGGTGCAAATGATTTGAAACACAATATATCGTTGCGCAAACGAGCTTTGTCAGAAACATCGGACGAAACTGATACACGTCGTCGCGACGACTTTTTCGCGCATTTGGATTTGAAGAATAAAAACGACGATTTGAACGATTCATTTCAATCGACTGGATACAATTCCGATACGGATGTTATTGAACACAAGAAATCACGCATTTCTCGTGATGATTGGTATACAAAAGCATCGAACGGTGAATTCAAAGATTTGGCTGATATTCAATCAATGATAAATGTTAGCTCATCGGGCAGTGAATTGCTACGTCAACTTGATCAACCGATGACTTCGATCGCATCTTCATCAAACGAACAACTTTATTCACGCGACGATGAAGAACAACAAGATGCATTCACAGCCGAATTCCGAAAGATGAAATTACGTGGCGAATTTCCATGCAAACTGTGCACAGCAATCTTTCCGAATTTACGTGCATTAAAAGGTCACAATCGTATTCATTTAACGGCAGCTGGTTCGGGACCATTTTACTGCAATATGTGTCCGTATTCAATTCATGACAAAGCCGCGCTGATTCGTCACATGCGCACACACAACGGTGATCGACCGTACGAATGTGCCATTTGCAATTATGCATTCACCACAAAAGCAAATTGTGAACGTCATTTACGTAATCGCCATGGAAAGAGTACACGCGACGAAGTAAAACGCGCCATTATCTATCATCCGTCCGAAGATTCGAGCTGTGACGATCCAGTGAAAAAGATGCAAATTTTCAATATGTCATTCGAAGAAGATGATTTACCGCCAAAAGATCGTTCAACACCCGTGTCACTTATCAAAGAATCACCGAATTCAAGTGCCGAAAAAGTGGCGAAAATTCAAGTGAAAAGCATCGATCAACTAACTCAATTCAAGAACCAGGTGGCTGAAATGAATGAACATGATGCGAAACCATTAAAAATGAACGTCGACACAAAACCGATGGATTTGTCAATGGACGCATTGGATTTGAGCAAAAAGAATGCCAACGATTTGCTATCAACACCAGATCTATCATTATTTGAAAAAAATCAACAATTATTCTTGGCACAACAAAAGTTGCTCAGCGAAGCATTGCCACAAATTGATCCCGCTCATTATTTCCAGTTGTCACAATTGTATCGTAATTTAGTATTTCCAACGACTGGACTTCCGTTGCATCCGTTCTTTTTACAAAATCAATTATTGGCACAGTTGCCGACACCGAATTTTGCCGAATTGAAAAATCTCATGAAAAATGATGTACTATCAACACCAACCAATAACATATATCATCCAAACAGTATGTTTATCAATCCAATATTTCCAACACCGCCAAATATGCCTCAAGCCAATTTTCCAACATCGACACTATTACAAGAAGCATTGAAGCAAGAGACATCGCCGCCATCACAACGAAGCGCCACACCACCAACCGTTCAATTACCACTTACACCGCAAACGCCACGCTCTTCCAGAGGTGTCGGTCAATTGCCACAACAAAAACCACAACATGTACGCATTTCAAGTCCGGGACCGGTAAAAATGGTCATTAAAAATGGTGTTTTGATGCCCAAACAAAAACAACGTCGCTATCGCACCGAACGACCATTTGCATGTGATCATTGTTCGGCACGATTCACATTGAGATCAAACATGGAACGTCATATCAAGCAACAGCATCCACAATTTTGGGCTCAACGTCAACGCAGCGGACACAATTTCATTCGTCGCGGTAGCAGTGCCAGCCTTACGCCATCATCATCATCGTTACAAAATCAGGAATTGGCAAGTGCCGCCGCAAATTTGATGGATAATAAAAATGCATTCAATGCTATTTCGGATCAAGTAAAATTCGCCATACTTGCTCAACAGCTTAAGAGCCGTTCGAATAAAAGTTTCGATTCTATTGAAGATCAGGATGAAAATGATGAAGATGGTGAAAATTATAAGGATGACATTGATGAACCGAAACTTTTTATCGACGAGGATGATGATGAAGATGATGACGATGAGTCGGAGCCAAAAGATTTATCACACAAAAATGTTGTGAAACGATCACTATCACCACCGCTTGATAACAATGCAACAGCAAAGAAAATCGCAAAAAATATTTTATTGGAAGCAATGAGTGCCGAATCAAAAAACGTTGAGAAAAGTGAAACGCGCACGAAGGAGGCAAAAGAAAATTACGAATCGGAAAATCGTTCGCGTAAATCATCAAAAGATGAAAATGATTTAGTTTCGGTATCGACGCTTGTTGATAATGCCACCAATTCGGTGGGTTTGGGAAAATATTTCAATGCCGATTGCCAGTCGAATGATCACAGCGATGAAGAGGGTTTGGTTGCATCTGGTAGCACATCAGAAGGTAATAATTCGGGTGCCGAAGATCCAAATCCGAATCCAATTGAAGGCAAAAAGAAGTCTGCATACAGTTTGGCACCAAATCGCGTTTCATGCCCATACTGTCAACGCATGTTCCCATGGTCGAGCTCATTGCGTCGTCATATTCTAACACACACTGGACAAAAGCCATTCAAATGTTCACAATGTCCACTTTTATTTACGACCAAAAGCAATTGCGATCGTCATTTATTGCGAAAACATGGTGACGTTGATACAGCCGTTTCATTGTATGTTCCAATCGATGATATGATTTTGGATCCAATTAAGAAGCCAACACCAGAACCGTTGCCACCATCACCGCCACCAGCACCACTATCAGCAACAAAGACAATTCTCTCAAATCAACCGACTTTGCCACAAATTCAATTGAACATTCCACCATTGAAGAATGACAATTCGCCAGCATCAAACACCGATTTACCATTTAAATGTCACTTATGCGACGGTTCATTCCAGGACCGTTTTTCGTGTTTGGATCACATTAAAGTGTATCATTCGCAAGAATTTGCATTGCTATTGGCTAAAGGTGCCATCGAACCGGAAGAAGATGTTCAGGCGGCCGTTTCAGCTGAAGAAGAAAAAGAACAAATTGAGAGCGGTGGCCGTGGCAAATATCCAGACTATGCAAATCGTAAAGTGATTTGTGCATTTTGTGTACGACGCTTTTGGTCAACAGAAGATTTGCGCCGTCATATGCGCACACATTCCGGTGAGCGTCCATTTCAATGTGGCATTTGTATGCGTAAATTTACATTGAAACACAGCATGTTGCGTCATCAAAAGAAACATGCAAACAATATGAATTCAAATCATCATCAAAGTGCATCCGATCTGTCGGATGATGAACAACAAATTTCAACAACGCCACCACCACAGCTACCAAAATTGGCACCCGAAAAAATGGCATCATTGGCTGATGCACTGTTGAAAACACAAAATTTAACCGAATTAATTGCCAAGAAATTTCTAATGAATAAAGCATTGGCCGAACGTGACGATGGCGACAACAAACGGGCAACAGCATCTACTGAAGGCGGTCTTGACAGCGAAGAAACATCGGAATTAATTGGAAATCTATTGGGAATCAGCGATTCAAGCATCCTCAATAAAGTTCTATTGTCATCGGCGGACGAAGCAGCCAAATTACTCGGTGTTGAAAAGTAAACATGAAAAATGTGTTTAGATTGGAATGCAAAACATATTGAATAGTTTATTTCTAGTCGTTCAGCACTGAATGAAACGACAACAAAAAATAAAAACCAAATGATGAAAGAAAAAAGTCTTAATATCTTAACCAAATATAGAAAAAAAAAATCAACAACCAAATCCACCCACATATCGAACATTTTGAGTTGAAATCAATTTTTTTTAAAGTATTTTGAACGATATGTGCCTTGACAACGAAATAAAGAGCCTTTTACCAGTATAAATTGGAAACATTTATGAAAAAAGTGTCTTATTGATGAAACTTATCAAGAAAAAAAAAACATTTTAACACTTAGATTCACTAGAGGAAACAAAATAAATTTTAATCATAGCGAATAAGATGATGCCTTTTTAATGATGTTACAGTTACATTTTGAAAAAAAAATTAATATGGAAAATTTAATTCACGGTTTTTAGTTTTTCTGCTTCATATTTTGTAAATATTTATTAAGAATGATTGTTTAAAAACGCCATGATACAATAATGCCGAAAATTTTACTTAAGATTTATGAAAAATCATTAACAAAAACGTTTCAACAATTTTAATTTATTCCATTTGATTTGAACTTGGATTATTGGATTATTGGATTCGTACGGGGAGTATACTAGGTCTACTTTTCAGTAATATCCGTAGTTTCTCGTTGCTCAGGTGATTTGAACTTACCTACAACATAAAATAATGAAACTAAATATTATTATCGAAAATTAAACTAATTTGTAAGAAAATGCTTTGAAGAAAAATCGAGCAAAAATCATCATTTATTGTTGAACAAAAAAAGCAACCAAACAAAAAAATTATGGAAAAATATGACAATTTTAAATTGTGTGGCCTTTTCACGGTGTGGTTTTAGAAAAATGTTTTTAATAAAAGCGAATGGTGACGAAGCGTTTTTTCAGTTGTTGGCGCATTAGAACATAAGTAAAAGACATATCTATATTTAAAAAAAAGAAAAATAAAGAAAACATTTTTTAGAGAATAAAGTCAATAAAATAATACAAAGATACACTTATTGAATGGCTTATTTGCGTCAACGAAAAAAAAATTATAAAATAAAAATGAGCATCCATCAAAAAGTTTTTAGAAATGGAAAAAGAATTGTTCAACACACATTTACACGCAGAGAATTTGCCTTGAACAATAATAGAAAAATAAGGGGTTGAAAGAAAGATAAAGTGAATAGCCTATGATAAATCCTTAAGATAGTTTAGCCTTTTTGAAGAATAAGACGAAACTTGTCAAACAACTGTTGTTGTTTTTGTGTTTGTGTCGCAAACACTGTAATTTTCTCCCCTTCTTTATTCCATTTGTTTCGACTGTATATTTATTCAAACGCAATCTGGTCTCAATTCGTTTCGGTTTCTCTTTCGATTGTACAACATAAAATGAGTTTGGTGCGCACTCGCTAAATATATACCTAGTATATGTGTGACATCGATAAAGGTCATTCAATGTATATTTATATGTAAAAGGTTCATGTGGTGTAAATCAGCAGCAGCAGCAAAAGTCAAAATTAGGCGGTTTTTAGAATATTTATTTCAATGTGTAAATTTCGATTATTAAGTGCTTATGTGAATGGAGTTGAAGTTCATGACACTCCGAGTGCAAAATGGCATTCACACATAACACGAGATGAATTTACATGTTTTGATGCCACAGCGTATGCTGCATGGAAATGGTTATATTTGGCATAACATTTCGTTTATGAAGATTCCATGACGAATCGCAACTACAAAATAAAACAGTTTAGAACTGCTCAAATCCGAGTTGCCATCAATTTAATTCAGTAGATAAATAGACGATAATACATATTATATCATTATTGAATGTAGCAAATTAGATTATAAAAAAATGAAAAAAAAAAAAAACTGTTTACATTTGCAAAGAGAAATTTGAGCCTTTAGAATTTTAGCACTATAAACACATATGCCTTAAACGGATTAACTCCCCATAACATTGTTTTTCAACGGTCTTTCTTGAGTTTGTCGCACAATTTTTTGCACATTTTATAATCAATACATTAAAATTTGAATAAAATAAAATAATAATTTGAGAAAAAAAAATGCTTTTCCCGATTTAAAAAAAAAAAGGAAATCAGTTAAACAATATATGAATCTACTTAGAATATTAGCATTATTTATTAAATTAGACACAAAAAAAATGAAAAATAATTAAATGAATAGAATTTTGAAAATTTTATTAGTAAATACAGCATATTACCAAAGCAATAAAGCTTTTTGCCTAAAATCAGCTGAACATCTCACCGTTTCATCTTTGACAATTGCGGCTGTAATTGCAATTGCAAAGATGGAACATTTTTAAGATTGAAAATTATAAACATTAAACATTCCAATGCACACGGAAACCAAAATGGTGAAAAAACAAATTTTTTGGTCAGAATTACAGTCTTTCAACCATTCAATTTTAAGCATGTTGAAGCATAGTGTTTAATATTAGAAATTCTAAGTTTAGAATTCTATATAGTGGATATAATAGATACATAAACACATATAAATATTCTAGTCGATTAGTTTTTTTGGGAGTTTTTGTTTTAATGCTTGGAAGCCAGTTTCTTTTTTTTTTATTCAAGCCACACGTTTCAAGCAAACATTGGCACATTTTTTTCTATATTGCTTTTTTGTTTGATTGAAAAAAATGGCCCTTCTTCATTTTAGTCTACAGCGCAAACCAATCAAATCCTTCCAAAGAAATTATAAAAAGAAATCTTTGTAAACGCATACGAACAACATTCATTTTGATTCCTTCTGCTTTTTTTAAATCATCTTTTTTGAAATTTATGAAATTTTGAATCGCTTCAGTTCCAACAAAGATATGAAACTTATCATTATCGAATATATGCCTACTTTTTTTTTAGATTATTGTAGAATGCGAAATAGCACGAATGAATTAAATCTATAGAAAATAGACAGCACGAAAATGATTGTGAAAGAATAGCGTCGAGTTTAAGCCTTTAGTGAAAAAAATGAACTTGAAACAACAATATTGTTGTCAACACACACCCCATAAAAACATCTATAACCGAATAGCGAATTAAGTGTGCACGATTTAGTTTTAAATAAACTATCAATAAAAAAAAATAAAACGTTCCAACATGTTTTGCCTTCTGCAAACATTATTCTTTGATCACCGGCGCCAAAAATACATAGACAAACCAAAAATAATTAAATAACCATAGAATATCATAAACATATTTAGAGAAAAAAAATACGAGCAGACATGAATTTACATTTTATAGTTGAAACAATAGATTTGGCCCATATCACTTTAAAATCGAAAAATAAATTCGCTCAAAAATATTTCAAATAAATAATGAAACATTATATCCGGTGAAAAAAAAAAAACCAAACCAATATTGTTTTATCGAAATTCAAATATCAATTTTATCTCACTATAAATTCAAACAAAAGAACTCTATCCATCCACTAACAGCTTAAAATTCAAATGTAAACCGAAAATATTGTAAGCATCAGAAGCATTAGATTAGATTAAATAATACAAGTATTTTGTGTAGAATTCTGAAAATGAAAATCAAAAGAAATGGAAATAAAGAATAAAGATTTAACAAATATTATGAAACAATTTTTGATTTTAGTCATTTATCTTAACATTTACAGCCTCTTTCACTCAGGATTTTTAAAATTTCAAACAATTGTTCCTGCTGAGTCAGCGGCGCTGACCACTAAATAATACCACACACAATATGATCTCTTTGAAAATGTAAGTGTTTTTTTTTTATTTGGACTCGTTTGGACCATGGAAACCAGACATTATATTGAGATATTTTGAGCCAGAAGAATCATCTCAGCCAGATATCATCAGGGACTGAAATGGAGTGAAAACAATAGAAATGATTGTTATGGTTATAATTACACTTACATTGCTACAATCACTTTTATTGTTTTCACTCCATTTCAGCCCCTGGCGATATCTGGCTGAGCTGATTCATCTAGCTGAAAATATCTCAATATAATGTCTGATGGAAACATTCACATGATAAAAAAAAAGTATGAAACAAAATAAACTTGAAGTCAAAATGAACGTACCCCAATTCATTGGAACATATGATGATATTTGACATTTGAAAGAACTGTCAAACGATGGTGTTGTCTCTCTTTTTTTGATGCTCACAACAATTTTACGTTCGATTGTTTACATTTCTTTATATCATAGTAATCACACATTTTGGTGTAATGTGTGTTCCGTCTTTTTTTTTTTTTGTATGCATCAAATTATCCCTCTCACTTCCTTGTCGCGTGTTCAAATAAGTAAACATGAATACCGTATTTTTAGAGAAGATATGTCGGTGTTGTTTAAATGAAAGTGAATACATGACGAACTTATATGATCGAGTGATGGCAATAGAGTCATTCACATTTGAACAAAACTTTACGTATTCCGATTTGATACATTTGTGCACGAATATACGATGCGATTTTGACGTAGTCGATGACAATGAAATTGTTGAGTTACCACGAAATTTGTGCGAACCGTGTTTACAAGAATTAAAGACTTCATTTATATTCCGTAAAAAGGTTGAATCTAGCAATAATTTGTTACAAAAACAGACCATTGGTCAGACGGTCATAACCGAAGAAATAATTGAACTTGATCAAACAATAAACAACAGCAATAATGACAAGGTTTCTAAATATGTCTGCTTTAACGCCATACACCGTCTTTCATTCAATTTATTTCAAATGTGAAAATCTCTTCAATTCAGGAAAAATGTGACGATGAACAACGATTTGTGGTCGCCATAAATGAAGATAACTCTGAGAAGAATGACGCGTCCAATGAAGTTCAACTCCAAATTGTTTCAGGTAATAATATCGAATTATGTGCAAAATACTCAATTGGAAGTGATCAGTCATAATTGAATCGTTGCTTCAGTTCCCAATTTAGAATATCAAACTTCCAATTTGTGTAGAATATGCAAAAAAGTATTCCATTCTGAGTCGGATCTTCAAGCGCATAATCGACAACAACATCAACAGTACAAATGCAATGTATGCTCCAAGGAATTTCGTACGCAAAAGGGCTTTTCAACACACAGCAATTCACATGATGAACAAACAAACAAACAAAAGTGCGAAATACTATATTACCATATATAATTTCATTGAGTAGCTACTATGTTAAACGTTCATATATTTTTTTGTCTCAAATCAGGTTTCTTTGTTCAACGTGTGGTAAATTTTTCGGAACTAAACAACGACTTCAAGCTCATCAATCAACCCACTCTTGTAAAATGAACTATGTGTGTAGCGCATGTCACAAAAGATTTGCGACTGAGTCTCGTCTTCGGTGCCATCAACGTACTCATGTAAATAATACATTTCATTCGTGTTCGTTAATAATATAGATGGAGTAATCAATTATTAACATAAACTGTTTTATTAAGCAATTAACATAGTGATTTTTTTTCTTTCTTCGTTGACTGTAGACAGGAGAAAAGCCGTTTCAATGTAATTACTGTGACTTAACCTTTGCACAAGGTAACGCATTGAGGTGTCATAAACGTATACACGTACGTATATTAATTTATTTTGTAAATTGAATGTGCTTGAACAATTTTTTTTCGCAATAATTAATCAGAGTCTCTTTCTCTCTCTCATCTTTTCAATGCATACATATGCTTATGTGATCGGAATGATGTTGCATATAGACTGGTGAACGTCCATATCAGTGCTTAATCTGCCAAAAACGCTTCACACAAAACACAATTCTCAAAACTCACATGACATTGCACACGGGAAAGAAAATTAAATGTCCAGATTGTGATAGACTCTTTAGTCGTCGGTCAAATTTAATTTTACATCGTCGCGAACATGTAAGTGATTCTATTTAGATTCTCTGACCAGCACTCTGATTCAATTTTATTTGTTCTAATTCCAGACTGGCGAAAAACCCTATGCGTGTGAACATTGCCCAAAGCGATACAAGCAAAAAAGTCATCTGGATCAGCACATTGGTACACATTTGGGTGTAAAATATACATGTGAAATAAATGGATGTAATAAAGTTTACTCCAAGCGATGGTCATTAAAAGTGCACATGTTCACCCATTCACAAGTCAAGCCACATCAGTGCACAGAATGCGCTGCGGAATTTACACGACGCGACAAATTTAAAATTCACCTCAAATCAGTCCATGGCCTATTACCGACCGATCCAAATGCCACTGATTCCAATTTTCCTGTTCAAAACACAAACGAATAAATAAAAAGTCATCATTTTGTATATAAATTTAATGTTTTTTTTTTACTTTTGCTATCCAGTCAATAATATCTGGGTTTTTTTTAGAAAAGCAATGTGTATTATTTTTTTAAATTCTATTTCACATAGAAATATTAACGCGCACATCTATTGAATTACATCTTTCCTTCATTTTCTATCTCTTTGTAAATTATTTATTTTTTCTGTGTTTTTTTTTGCATAAAACAGTAATAAATAAACTAGATCAATTTTGTTTCAAATGGTACCTATAAATTGTGTTTGTCTGTGTGTATGTGTGTCTTACGTGTTCTCAATGCGACACCGAAAATGATAAAAAAGCGCTTCACAATTTTATTTAATTGATTAAATTGTTTTTCTTTTTGTAATTAGTTTAAATATATTTATGTTATTTTCAATTTTTTTGATGCTAGAGTTGCGTGGAGTAAATGATTTTTTTGATTTAAACTAATGAACGAAGTAAAAACTATTTAAGTTTTTCCTTAAATTTAATTATTATCAGACTCTACCACGGCCACATGTCGACTACACAAGTCAAAGAACTTTTCACGCACTTCATCTAATGTGATCTCCTCTTTAAGTTCGTTACCGGATGTTGAGACCTGTTTAGAAAAAGAAAACCGATTTGATTTGTTAAATTAATATCGAATTTGTAGATTGAATTTAATGGATTTACCTCTAAATTCCCCTCGCGAATCATTCGCCACGTGTCCAAAATGTTTGAATACTCTAAATATTTGTCAGTGTCGTTGAGTTGTTCATAAACATTACATAGTCCCTTGTAGTCGTACTCTAAGCCAGAGTAACTGCTACCAAACAGTCTTAAACCTAGAAGAGAAACGATTCATGATTTTCTTGATTTATTTTTTAAAATGCATGTTATACTCACTAATTGCAATACTCTTCAAATATAATTTTTCGGCTTCACGATATTTTTGCATATGGTAACTGTACAAAGAAGCTAAATGACCAATAGATAATCCAACCTCATAGTCGAAAGTACCAAGTAGATCACTTTTGATTTTGATGGCGCGTTTGTGCAACTCTTCGGCCTCCTGCAAAAACCAAAAAAGCAAAATTTTAGAAAAATTACGAAAAAATAGACGAACATTGTAATGAAAATAATTTTACGTGATATTTTGCCATGCTTTGATACAATCGACCAAGGTTGCCATAATGTTTGGCAGTTTGAACATTGACCTCTCCAAATGCATCGATTGTAATTTTCAATGCAGATTGATGTAATTCTTCGGCTTCAATCAGTAGGTTTTGATATTCTGAAGTAAAACGAATGATTTTAATTGTTTGTTTCCCTTGAAAACTGTTGTCATTTTAGCAAGTCATAATAAGATAAGTATTGTTTACCCGCTGTATCGCCGGCAAGACCATGGCCATTATCCAATGCGATTTCTTCTAAAATTAATGCCTTCACCCTTCGTGCGGATGACAGTAACAAATGATCTTTTGGCAAAAGTGAACGCAATATATCGATTGATTTGCAAATATGCTCACGAGCACTTTGGAAATTTCCCGAACTGTATTCTAAGACATACAATGCATACGATAAATCCTCTTCGGCTGTGGCCACAGCTAAATTTCTATTCCCATGAATCACAGTTTTAATATCCAATGCACGCTGTTTTGAATATATTCAATAAAAACGTGTTTTAATTTTTGTTTATCCAACCTGGATTATAAACAAGCTTTTAATTATGAATGCAAGTTTTATGGAAAATTACCGAATATGCTTGAACACTGTGAACAATATCATCGACATTCAACAAGAAGAACCCATAATCAAGCAATGTGTCTGCATATTTTTGATGACTTTCACCAAAGTAAGTTCTAAGAAAAGAACAACATTTAATGATAAAATTATGATTATTCATCGTACGACACATCGTACGGTACACAGTGACATATTGTATTTTGTTTTATTACCCCGCCATTTTAACAGCTTTCAGAATCAGAATTCTCGCTTTATCAAATTCACGTTTTACAACACACGCCTTAGCTGCAACACGAAGTACATCAATGGCAATTCTATATCGTTACAAAAGGCGACATGAGAAGAGGGAGAGAGAGAGAGGGAGAGAAAATCATCAGTGAACAATAAATACTTTTGATATCTCTAGCCGTGTTGTTTGTGGGTATTCATGTTTGTAAATCAAAAATAATAAAATCACTTGTTTACGCACTTGTTGGGTGTGGGTCCGTTTATTAATTGTAGTGCTTTGACGCTCCAGTCATAACTTAAATTGTAATCACTTTTGGCAAAATACAGCATCGACAACACTTTATAATAAGTAACAAGCAAATTGATTGGAACTTTCTCGATGCCAATGTGTGAAATGATATCATTAGCTTCTTGCTGGCTTTTACTTGCGTCAGCGAAACAACAAAATGCAACTTGTGCATGCAGTAATCTAGAGATAAATGAGAAGAAAAAAGTTCTTAGTCTATCAATAATTCTCACATTATCTTACTAATACTAACCTTTGTAAACAGTCCAATTTTACAATAATACTATTGTAATTGAGTTTTAGCGTATTAATGACATTCAAAATGGTAACCAGAACTTTTAAACTGTCCTGCAACCATCCCGATTCACTAAGAAATGTGCCGAGCCGCATGCCATTTTCGATTTGCTTCAAGCACATATCACGTGACATTAACAAATTATGATTTGAATTTTTCATAGGTGACGTTTTATAATGTGTTTGGAAATGATGATGTGTGTACATCGAAAATTTTGATGAAATTTCTGTTGATAGCTGTCGACCGCTACACATTAGGACCTAAAATGAATAATCATTTCAATTTTGCGTTGAACATCAACTTATTGACTCAGTCAGTTGTGACTGTAGCTTACCGAAAAACACTTGATCATTTTCTGTCTGGCTACTGCGTATTTTAGCAGTCTCATGAATATTGTTAAATTTGATAATTCATTATAGAGAATATCTCGTAAATCCTCCGATTCGCTCATCTAGTATTCATTCAAAATCAGTGTCGATTGCAAAGTGACGTCATTTTAATTTTAATTGTTTGTTTTATTTTAATTTATTTTTTCGTTGACATTGATTTGTGAAATGAGTAGAAGAAAAAAAAGAATGGTTAAACAACGTCAATTAACTCATCAGTTCAAGTGGCATACAGCACACTTAAAGTTAATTGCTGAATAATATAATTGCAAATAATCAGTTTAAATGTATAAATAAATAATTGACAATAAATTAAACGAAATCCAAATGTCGCCAAATAAAAGGTATAATTAATAATTAAAAGATATTTTTCTCAACTTACAGCCAAATAAATATCAGCCAAAATATTCGGTGGTAGCATTTGCAGGCCGTCAATTTCATCGAGTTGACTTGTTTTCGGTTGCAAGTTTTTGACATAGCTTACAATGCATTGGCTATATAACCGTTCCGGATTGTAATACGATTTCGACGCCATGACGATAAATTTTACGATTTTTTCGGTTTTTATTTCTAGTTTTGATAAATTACTGTGTGATCACTGTGTTGTTAAACTGATTTATGCGATTTTGTCTCACTTTCTATCGATTATGTAATACGAAAAACAAAACAATAAAATAGAACAAAAAACGCACAACAATTCTATAGAATTCAGTAGCATGTGCTTTGTGAACGAAAAATGTCGTCGACTCGTCGTGTGTGTTCTCTCACTACTGTGTGCTGTTTAGTAAGAACACCGAGTTAACTTGTGGTCGATACTTGATATACAATTGAAAATAGTCATGACTTCCGAAACGTTGAATAATATTCCTATAAGTCCGATGCAACCATGATGCAATCACTGTTTCTGCGTTTACTTTGATTTTTCTATTCAATCTGGAAGGAAAACAACTTTTGTTCATGTAACAATTGATTATGCTGAATTGTTTATCTAATTGGATTTCCTGTAAAATGAGTAATTAATGTTTAGTTTTCTTCGAACTGAACACTATTCTAAATTTAAGATCGCACAAAAGATATGACTTGTGATTTTTTTTGTTTTTTAAATAAAAAGATTTTCCAGTTGGCAGAATTTGCATCTAGAACATAACTCACGAATTTATTTGAATATAAATATTTATTCACTTTGTGATGCGTCAATAATGAAAATGTGCTGCAGACATAAAAAAAAAACATTACACAAATCTTGTGTGCGTTTGAAATCGACATTAAACGAATGTCACGGCTTGACTGTGCCACCACTGTGAACAAAATATACAAAGTAACAAGCACATTGAGATGAAAAAGCGTATTGTTGTATCGACAGAGAAATACTGAGTGAAAGAGAAAAAAACACAAAACGGCACACATATAGTGCTTACAATTGAGCTCGCAAACAGTGTTGCCTTGAAGTGTGTGCGCACGTACACACACAGTTCGATTGGAAAAAAGTAGATTATTATTTATCGTTCACCGTCTCTGTCACTCTATTTCTCTACACATACTAGTTGTACAACATCAGCCACAAATTCACTATTCTATTTTGCTTTTTTAGCTATTTCTTCGTCTCTTATGTGCAATGGTTGTGCTTCAATTGAATCCATACATTGTACGCGCAATTTCAATGTACTTTACTTTGGCTCATGTAACAATATGACTGATAGATACGTAATAAATAGTATGTACCTTGAAGTAGTCAACAACGACGACGACGTCGTCATATAATTTTTCGTGAGCGAATTTCGTTACATGTGTTTTTGTTAAATCATCGTGCATTTTCTGAGTCTCTATTCATTGTTCTCTCGCTCTTTCTCTAACACTCACATTTTCCTTTTCAATAAATGACTCAATCGCTGTTATTCGATATCACTCAACGGTACACAAATGTGCATGGTTCGATGCTTTGTATGAACAAGATTCTTGAAATTACAGTTCAAAATCAAAAACCAAACGAAATCATTAAAAACGGATGGTGATTACAGTTGTCTATTTTCAGTATTTATTCATCTTCAGCGTGTTGAACAAAGTACACTTGGCGATCTTCGGTTGCATTCGAATGTAGAACGATAAAGCCGAAGTATCTCTTAATACCGTATCTTATATTTACACATTGATTGCATCGAACATATGTTTTATTTTTTCATAAAAAATTTGATGACTGCCTAGGGAAGTTTCGTTCTCATGTCTTTTACAATTATCAACAACATCATATATTCAACTGAAATAAAATATTATTGCTTGCACATTTTCTATCTGAAATTTTGCAGACAATACGGGAAATTGCCCACACAATTTATTTTTAATAATGAAAAAAGATATTCGTTTCTGTTTAATTGGATGCTTATGCTTTGTAGTCACTCGAAAAAAAAAACGAAATGATTTTATATTAAGAATTTTGGCATGAAATGTGTGTGTTTTTCTAGTGTATTGGAACAATTTTAAAAATATATTAATTATATCGGCAAACAACAAGTAAACAATCACATTTTATTTATGTCCAATTGAATGGTACAGAAACTTACAATCAAATAAGAAAAATGGTCTTATGAAAAAAAAATCCTTTGAACACTGGTTCCTTTTTATCTTAAAATATGTATGTTTTCACTACTATGTGTCGATGTCTGACTATCATTTTCACAGAAACAAACTTTTCATTTTTGTGTATTTCTCGGTTTTGCTTGTGCCTCGTATTTTTCTTCGCTTCTGGAATACATCAAATGGCGCATGACAAAAATGAATTGAAATGTCAATAGACTCGTACTGTATATATACTGTGTGTATATGTTGTTGAAAACACATACACGCTCTTTTCTCACTCGTCTCTCTGTGTGTTGTCTGTCGTTTGTTTGATTTCGCGCTAGAATGCAGCGTTCGCCGGACTCATATGTCCATGTGTTTGTTCGGTTTCAGTATCGTCTGCACAATCTATTTATAGTTGTGTGTGCTGTTTGTGTCATTCCATTATTTTTTTCAAAAAGACTTTCTGGAATACTTAGAATTGCATAGAATACATGTATTCATGCATACAACACATGCATACGTTTACTCTACGGCTGAAATAACGAACACACTCGAAATCCAAAACAGTTGAAAAAAAAAGTCATTGATTTACCGTTTTTTTTTCCTCCTTTCGGTTTTGCACAACACCAAAAATGTCAACAGCACCAATTAGCAATTCAATGGCTTGGTCACCTTTTTACCGCGTTGAAATTTTTTTAAACTCAAAAGTTCAATTTCGACACTTTATCGGTGTGATGCTGCGCGCTATTTTATTAATAACAACCGTTCATCGTCACAGTGTAAATATCTCTTTTATTTTCAACTGAAATGAAACAATTTTATAAACCAGTATCTTATCTTTATGAATTCGTCTATTTATGTACCCGCCAAGGTGGATGGAAAATAAAAATACACAAAGTGCTCTTATTTGTGCATGTTGTTGTGCGCACTTTATGAAACAATAAACAACAAGAACAAATTTAAATAAAGATTTAAAACAGAAAAGAAAACAAGAAACAAAATGATCCAACTGCAACGAATCGCGCAGTTCATCGACTTAAACAAAAATAGTTCGCGCAAGTTTATTTATTTTATTTTTCGGACAACACAAAACCGTACACAACAAACAAACACTTATTATTTTTATTTTTTGTGAGAAGATTTGTTCAATTTTTCATGCAACAAGTGATTGACCGACGTTCAGAATGATATGTATGCACCTCATCCGTTCGCTGGCTGCATAACAATTACCAAAAATGATACGAGCGTGCAGACTTGTGTAGTCGACCGAAGTCGCACCACAATATCATTATTGAAGGAGGGATACATAATAAAATCATCCATTTTGATCTTTTATTTTTAAATGTTCCATTTTTTCATTGATATTTAATTTAAAAAAAAACGAACTGACACCAATCAAGCCAAGCATTTACGCAATTCTGTATAATTGAATGATCTTTTTTCTCTGTCGTTTTGGGTAATTTTCTTGTCATCTGCATTGAAACGATAATGAATTCGCGTTAAGTCTTTTTGAGTTTATCGCACACGAAACACAGCAAGTAACACACAGCCTCAAGAGAATGAATAGCTGTGATAATCGATAAATTTTATTTTAAAAATAAAAAAAAAAGCAAAACCATAAGGACGGTCAATTTTCAAGGAGACAAATATCGTTTTATATCCAAAAGACCTACATTATTTTTGCAGTTAATTATGCAACGTAGAACACAATTCAATTGTATTCGATTGGAGGTCAATGCCTCAAAGTGAAAGTTTAACCAGCGACAATACAACGAATGTAAAGCGCACGGCTGGCACATTTCGCTTATATTGGTGTCTCTCGAAGCAAATATTGCAACCACATATGACTTTTTTTTAAAGCAAAGTTACGCAATCAGTCGACCTTACTGCACTCCAATTCCAGAACCAGATCGAAATTAAGTTGACACCGTTTTTTATTTCTGTATTCGTTCATCTATCGAGAATTTTCGTAACAAGTCGCATTCAATATGAATGGCTTTTTTAACTGAGAAAAAAAAGGGAAAAAAATTAGAATTTAATTTTCCCGGGCATTGTTATTAGATCCATTTTTCCAGTCAAATAAAAAATATTTGTAAAAATTCCAGGAGAGAGAGAGAGAGAGTGGTAAAATAGCGACACATACAGAACGGTTCCGTGAATCGACCTAAACATTTGACAGACTTTTTCGGTGATTTGCAACCAACTTCAGGACAGTGCTGTATACAGAATACACAGTACTAACACGCGCGCTTCTATACATAAGCTAAAAAAATATTTTATTTGTGTGCAAACTCCAATGTGTTGGTTCGTCAAGCGAGATCGCCATTTTTAGTTTCTCACACACACGATGTGTGTGGCGATAAATGAAAAGTCGGAAATATAGTGAAAAAAAGTAAAAATCGTCGCAAAGTGTTTTATTTTAGTTGGATATTATATTTGTTGGTTTTATCTACAAAAAAACAATTGCTTTACAAACGCATAAGATCATCATAAAATACCACACAAATTTTGAGTTGAATACGAAAATAAAAGAAATCAGTGATTTTACATTAGAATAGCGCAACAAAGCACACTTCAATGTGTTTGCAATATAAAAAGTCAAAGTCTTATGGGTGAATTAGCGCGAGAAAACCAAGCGAAAAACCACAAACTAAACTCTTTTTAAGTGTGTGTGAAACTGATTTAGGCTTTAGAAAACAGGCAGTCGAAAAAAATAAATAATTTTTGAAGAATATCGTCAGTGTCAAAAATGGATGAAAACGATTCACCGCAAAATCGGAGCAACGATGAAGCTGAATTATCCAAATCGTTTGATGAAAATGTAAGTGTGAATATATTTCGCCAATTTCAACTGTGCAATGAACGTCTTCAACCGAGCGTTGCACACATTCATTTAAAGTGTCATTTTGTGCAACTAACCAATTCTCTTGGCCGTATGAATAAAGGATTTGCGCCATTTTTTTGTAATTTATTAATTTTAAATCGAAAATTTTATGAGTCGAAAAGGTCAAGATATCAGCATTCGATTAACATTACACATTTTAAATATAACCTCAAAATTTCCGTTTTGACCACTGTCGTCTCTTATTCTTTGAGTTAAATCAATACTATAATATAGATGATTTGAATAATTTCCATTCTATTGAAAATGCGAACTTATATTTTTATTTATTTTGACAGTCAATCATAGGAAAAATGAAAGTTGGCGTATCGAGAATATTGCCAAATTCATTATCCAAGTGGCTGTCACCAAAGGTAGATGTTACCAATACTCGACGTCGTCGACACGAGGAAATCGATTCGGATGAGGACAATGTGGCTGCCATTCGTAGAAATTCTCCGCCAACCACCATTACAACAGATAGTCGATATCAAACAACACCACAATTATCCGCACCGCCGCCAAATAAAAAGAAGAAAACATTTACCGTAAGTGCAACTTTCGAACTACGTGCATAGGCATTTCATCCAAATGCTCATTTTTTTTTGTTTTAGGAATTTTTGAATCGAAACACATATGATTTGTTCTCAACAACCACCACACCGTCAATAGGCGAACGAAACAATATCGTTTCGTCAACGTTGATTGACGATGTGTCTCATAGTAGAAATGTAAAACAATTCAATCGATATTCAACACTTGAAAATGGTCAACATGCCACCGCAGCCGCCGCCGGTATTGCTTCTGCTTCGAATGCCTATGCTGATGAATCACCGCGTGAAAATGATCGTTATAACAACGATGAAGCGTCATCATCGCAAAACCGTGATAAACCAACAAATTTATTCACCGTCAATAACGATTCGTCTGTGGTGAATTTTTCCGCACATTTACAACGCGCCAAATCACTATTTACAAATCGTTCGTATTTATCACCACGTCTTAAAAATTATCGTATGCGCAATCCACGTTCCTCGTTGTACAGAAGTACGTCATCATTGTGTGACAACAATAGTGTTTCATCGAATGCATCGAGTGCAATGTCATCACCATTTTATAATGGTCAGACGACATTTGGTGGTGCATCGGCAACATCAAGACGAATGAGCGCCGCAACAACAGCCGATATTCAAATGCACCATCGACCAAAGGTACCAACAAATTTGGTTACATCACGGTCTACATCGTCGCTAAATACAATCGGTGGTACATCATCATCGGCATCAATGTCAACAACCGCCAAACGTATTTTAGATGTAATGAGCAAATACAATACCCCACTCACCGAAGTTCGACGCATTTCGAATGCATTACCATCGATTGCCGAAACAACTGCGATAAATAAACGAAAATCGATATTGGAATTGGAAATGACAAGCACAACAAATGACAATGAAAAATCGAAACGTACACTATTGAAACCGAATACGCCATACAATCGCCCATTCGGACGAAATCCGGTTGAATCGACGCTTATAACTGAGCTTCATGTTCCCTCAATGCCTGAATTATTGCAATTGAAAAAATTTGCCACAAACACAGTGAAAATTCGCGACATAGCCAACAAATCCGATAATATTTTGAATAGGCCTGTTTCCTCGGTAGCCGCGGAATTTAAATTGTCGACAACGACAACAAAGAGCGGATCTGAAATAGATAAACGAGCAAAAGCCGATATCGATGTTAGCAACAATAATAAATTCGTAAATAATAAAAATGACGCAATGTCGACAAAAATGTCGAGTAGTGCAAACGATGCGAATAAAGAGCATCGAAATAAAATTCGTAATAATTTAACCAAACGAAATTTGGGCAAACGTGCTGCCGATGATGATGCAATGCCAGAACCGGTAAATTTGCCAAACATCTCATTGGTATTGGATAAAAAGGCTGAAATAAAATTTTCGGAACCATTAAAATTACCGAATGCCACCGATCAAAAGTTCAACATCGGTAACAATGCATTGGATAATGGTCCACAAATTGGAATTCCATTCAAATTTAAGAGCTCCAACACAAATACCATCAGCGCGTCCGCCACCAAGGAATGCAAACGTACGAATGGAAACACTAGCGAAAATTTGAAAAAGTTTGACATAAGTCCAACAAAGCCGGCATTGTCAACATCATTGTCGTCATCATCAACGGCAGCTTCATTTAATACATACATCAGCGCTGATCTCGCTGATAAATCACAGCAAGCGCGAAAGATTTCCAGGGAATCAACATCTGTTTATCGATTCAGTGAACCGATTATCGTTAAAACAACGGCGCAAAATTCATTTGGCAAACAGTACAATAGTTTCGGTGATATTAGTACAAATTACAAATTCAGCGAACCAATTTACGTGACTGATGACACATCGAATGAATTACTCAAAAACGACACATCCAAAACATTCGGCAATTTTAAATTTGATCCAAAACAAATAAAAGGTGTTCCAAGTGATAGCGGTATTGCGGACACACAATCATCGTTTGGTTCGAATTTCAGTAAATCAACGGTAAAATCAACACTAACCAGCGAATTCGGTAAATCAACACCATCATTTGGTGCACAAGTTAAAGAAGACGATACATTCAAATCACTCGTAGCCAAACAAAAGCAAGGCAAGTGGTCTTGCAAAGATTGTAGTGTATCAAATGAATTGACAGTTGATAAATGTGTATGTTGCGGCTCAGCAAAAATAAACGAAGGTACAACAATAGCAACTGTGAAAAGTACACAAAGCCAACCAGCCGCCGCCGCCGTTGATGATGTATTCAAATCAATTGTGGCCAAACAAAAACAATCCAAATGGGAATGCAACGATTGCATGACACAAAACAATCAGGTAAATTATTTAGTTTTATTTATAATTTTTATTAGGTATTATTATTCAAATATATTTCGAAAATGTATTAATCGTAATGTTTTTCGTCAGACCGAATCGAAATGCCTTTGTTGTGGTGGTGCCAATCCAAATGCATCATCGACAAATGTTACCGATAGTAAACCAGTGCCGATAAAACCATCATATAGTTTCGGTACGTTGCCATCGTCGTCGTCGTCGACAAGTAACACATCAGCTGCCTCAAATCAGCCCATCGACAGTGTATTCAAGTCGATTGTTGACAAACAAAAGAGCACATGGAAATGTTCTGCATGTCTCAATGCGAATGAAGTAACGAAATCAAAATGTGCATGCTGCGAACAGTCACGAGATGTAACAAAGGGTGCTACAACTAGTGGGACTGTACCGGCTAAATCACAAATCTCCTTTGGCAATAGTTCAACATTTGCTCCAGTAAAAAGTGGTTTTTCATTCGGTTCTAATGCAGATACGGCTGTAGGCGCTACATCATCATCATCATCATCATTTCCCTTTGGTAATCTAGCCGCTGCAAAAACAATGCCAGCGGCTCCATTTTCATTCGGAAATTTAAAAAATAGCGAATCCGTTACCAAAACAAATACTTCAATAAATGATGGCAAAACTGAAACGGAAGAAGCCAAAGGTTCGTCGGTACAAAAAACACCCGAAAAAGCACCCGCTACGATTGCACCATTTTCATTTGGAAAACCACCCGTCTTGCCTTCAACGAGTAAAGTCGAAACAACCGCACCGAAAGTAGAGGCTGCATCAACGACACCCGATAGCATTTTTAAATCGATTGTTGATAAACAAAAGAGCTCATCGTGGGAATGTTCAACTTGCATGGCGAAAAATTCCAATAATGATGTAAAATGTATGTGCTGTGAAACGCCAAAAGATGGTAGTGCGTCAAAAGATCAAATAAAGAAAGAATTTAGCCTTGAATCGAGCCAGAAATTCGTATTCGGCACTCAGAGCAGTAACCTATTTAGTTTTGGTTCAAAGCAAGATAATAAAAATAGTATTCAAATTGGCACTTCATCCAGTAGTACAAGTACGCCAACCACATCATTGTCGTCGACAACAACAGAAACCCCAACTGCATCGTCGTCCACATCGAACTTATTTGGAAGCAGTCAAGCACCGACAGTCTCTTTTACAGCCAACAAACCGAGCACAACAGCAAGTCAGCAAGCGTCTGTATTTGGTGGATTTACATTTGGATCGTCATCGGTTGCTTCACCCATTTTTGGTAGTAAACCATCAAAAGATGAAACCGATACTGGTACATCGTCAACATCAAACACTAAAAGCATTACCGTTTTGGACAATATTTTGGTTAAACCGGCCGCCTCGACGAACGGACCGACTGAATCAACACCAGCACCGTTTGTTTTCGGTCAAGGTTTTGCCACAACAGCATCAACTACAACCGATGATCCAGCTAAGGCGCAAAAACGACCAAACTCGGAATCATCTGATAACAACGTCCTCAGCAAATTTCCAGCTACAACCCCCGCTGCTTTAAGTGCTGGTAATTCGTTTATGTTTGGTCAAACCCAAAACACCAATACTTTTAGCAACACCAATACCTTTAGTGCCATTGCATCAAATCCAACGTCAAATCTTGCACAAGTATCGAATACTACTCAAACGACAACACCGACCACACAGAACACTTCCACATTTGGATTTGGCGCGCCTAAACCAACATCAACAAATGCATTTACAAATGTACAGCCGTCATTTTTCAATGCGACTAACAATGCAGCATCATCAACACCCGCCGCAAGTCCATTTGGTGGCAGCGGAAGTAATGCGAATGCTAGTAATGCATTTCCGGTATTCGGCGGTAATGCCTTTTCATCGCCATCATCGTCATCGCAACAGGCACCTCCAAACACCGCTCAACCCGTCTTTGGTAGTAGTATTTTTGCACCGCCTGCCGCTACACAACCAACACTCGGAGGCTTCAAAGCTGGCTCTACATTCGGAAGCTCAACACCTGCTTTGGGAACTTCCTCACTGAATACTGCAGTAAGTATTCGAGTAAAAAAAACCATTGTCATTTTATTCATTGCAATTTGATAAATATCCATTCTGAATTCCAGGCACAACCACAAGCAACGCCGGGTCTATTTGGTGCAAGTAACAACAATCAAAGTGAACCACCAAAACCAGGTGGATTCAATTTTTCACTCAACACACCACCAACTTTTAATTTCGGTCAACAAAACACTCAACAGGTAAAAAGCCTTAAACAATCATTAAACATTAAACTATTATCATTTTAAAATTGTATGACATTAAATTCGTTTATTACTTTTAATGAATAGGCAAATGTACCGTTCCAGTTCGGTGCACCAGCTGAAGCACCAAATATGTTTGCGTAAGTATCAACTTTGTTTATTGAATAGGGGTTATCAGATTTGAGATCAAATGATTTGACAAATCAACAAATGATTGCTCTACAATAAAAACAGCATATCAAAGCGAAACAAGACGTTTTTTTACATAGATTTGCTGTTGTAGTTTGTATGAATAGCAACAACAAATCTATATAAAAAAACATCTAGTTTCGCTTTGATATGCAACCATTTAACATGCTGCTTTTTTCTAGAGCAATCAAATCATGATTTGAGATGATGCATTCAAATCATTGAAAAAATAACTTAAATACAAATTTTTTATGAAACATTTATAACTTTCTTGAATTTTTCATCGCATGATTTCATTTGAGTTGGTCCAAATCAACAAAATAATTTACAAATCGCGGTCAATAAAATAATTTAACTAATCGTTTGAACTATTTTTCATGTACATATGAAGAGCTCAACCGGGAAATGCGGCGGCTATTCAGCAACGACGAAAAATTCGACCAATTCGTCGTGTCAATCGACCTTCAACGCAGTTTTAGACTAATTATGTCAATAATATGATCTTGATACGATTAGCAGCCATACACGCAATAGATGAAAGTGTTCTATTCAACAATATAGATTGCAGCGCTCTTATTAATTAAAAAATACAACAGAATTAAATGCCTAGTTCATAATTGTGAATACATTTTTGTAAACAATACACTCACACACACACACACAAATCAACCAACTATACGCAAAGAGTTCAATCTTCGCTCTACTTTAAACATTATTATCATTAACAACAGACAAAATAAACCAAAACCATGATAATAATCAATAATTTAAAAGAAAATTTTCATTTTTCGAAAATGTCTGCATAAATAGTTTTCATCTCTTTTTTGTTTTAAAATCAAACTGCAAAACTTATGTCGGTGAATAATTGTAACAAAGGTATAAAACTAAGAAACAAATCAATGTTTTTTTTTTCTTACTTTAATTTTAAGTGAAAATGAATAGGGAGTTTTCGGATAGGTGAGCAAGACTAAATAAACATGCTCAAATTATTGTTTCTTTTTGGACATTTTTGGTTACAGAATATTATTCAATTCAGTTTCGTCTTGTTAATCGAAACGCGCATGTAAAACGATGTTTTTCATTTCAAACAACTACATTTAAACGCAGTTTTGTTGATTTATTACGTGATCAAGTTATCTGTATACCGATTTATTGTTTATTTTTATTGAAAGAAATATGAAGAAAAAAAAGAAACTTTTTTGTTGTTAGAAGCACGTATACAAACAATAGCGGACTGTGCGATAAAAAAAGGGAAACTAAAAACAAAAGCGGATCCAATTTATAAAAGGATTTATGTGAATTTATATAATTAAAATACGATTAGAAATGGAAATAAAACAAAAAAAAAGGGAAATCATTATTAAGTTCTGTACGAAATATTGTATAAAACCATTTTGAAACTAAAACTAAATAAAAAGAAAAAAAAACTCATCTCCACATTTAAAAAAATGGTATGTAAAAAAAATCATAACTTGTTTTCATTTAGACGATGATTTCGCATCTTTTTTTCATTTGCCGGATACGACTTTTGCTGTAATCTGTAAAAGAGTGTTAAATTATGCATTTCCTCCTGGCTGTACGTTCATAGACAAATGTTATCGTGTATGTATATTTAATATGTCATCTTCCCACTCCTCTCCCGCATTGAGAAGTTAATTCAATGATTTGAGTTTTTTTTATTACAATCAAATTCGTCATCGAACGTTGGCCCATACTTGATTTAAAACTTGATCTTGAGTGATATTCGTGATGGGAAAGAAACAACATTTTTCGAAATCGAAGTGAATCAGCGCAGGTGACGTAAACACCAAATAAGCGAAATTCCAACGTGTTACGAGTGCTTGTAACGTAAATGCGGCACACATATGATCAATCGGTTAAATTGTGCTGAGAATCGATGCGACACCGCTGTACGGTACGTTGCTTGTTCGCTAATAGCTTCTTAATTCGTACGCGTTGTATCGAATACATTTTGATTAATAACAATAACCATATTTGGTATATTCGCGTACAGTTTACCCAGTTCTTTACTCAATCGCATTGTATGAAATCACTTTCGTTGACTTTTTTGCTTTAAACACTTGGGCGCTATCATATTTCCGCGCTTATAGCTGTTGATCGCGTATGCTTCTATTCAATATGTTTAGTATGATTGTGAACACCATAGCGAATGCGTTAAATAAAAAGAACACGGTCCGAAAGAAAGACGAACCATCGCAAACTGATAACATTCATTTATCTTTCGTTCTTCTTTCAACGGTGAATGACTAAAAGAAAACAGTGTCTGTGCATACTTTTGCACATGTGAATCGATTGTTGGCTTGCAACGATTTCAGTCAATATTTGTTCAAGATCGTGAATACAAAAAGAAATTTAGTGTTTCGAGTGATATCATTGAGAGTACGAAAAAATAGTGTGTTTTACACGAATTTTGAGTTTTTATTTTTAAATAAAATAATCATGATTGAATTTAGTGCTATTTTATATTCATTCACTGTGATATTAGTATTAATTTGTGTAATGCACAATGGTAATGCATTCAATTTATCGCCGAAACCAAATATTGTTTTTCGTGAGCCAAAGGCGTCGGGCGTCGGAATGCCAAAAATGCGAAGCTCATATTTTGGATTTTCATTGAATCTTAAGCAAAACAGGTAAATTTCAAACGTGAACAGTTTTTTGTTGTTGTTGTTTTTTATCGCGCGCACATACACAGACAAGTCGTCATGCGATACGAACGCATGCAAAAATTGTATATGACTCATTCATGGTCGAGTTGAAATTTATTGTTATTTATTTTGAAAATAATCAAGTCTTTATTGTCACATCGGATGATGTCAACCGTCTATTGTTAGGCATAAAATATATATTAACTCTGTAAATTTATGACTAATTTTTTCCATAATTTCTGAGCGAGATTATTTATTATACTGATTTATTTAAATGTTTTAATAGTGTTCTGGTTGGAGCTCCGCGAGCTCAATCAACAATCGAGGTTCAACGAAAAATCAATGAGACTGGTGCAATTTACAAATGCACATTCGATAAATCAGCCAGTTGTGCCCCATTCATTTTTGATCGTTGGGGAAACGTTCATGAGGACTACAACCAATACGCGTACAACAATGAAAAGAAAGATTATCAATGGCTGGGCGCGTCTATGGATTCCGGTGCCAGTGATACCGATAAATTTGTGGTTGGTGTAGTGGCATTTTAAGCGGCATACAACAAACAATAAACATTCATATTTTATCTATTCTTATATCCACAAAAAGGTATGCGCTCCGCGTCTCATTTCCGATGTAACAAATCACTATGAAACGTATCATTATCTAATGCATGGAATATGCTATTTTATAACAAATACATCGTCTGCACGACCGTCAAATGTACAAAAAATTGCACCACTTCGTTTTAAAGATAAGCAGCACAGTGTCATTGAGCAGGAACGTTACTTTTACTATATGTATGGTGAACAAGGAATGAGTGTTCATGTCACCGAAAACAATGAAGAAATTCTAATTGGAGCGCCGGGCATTTTTACATGTTTGTATACATTACTTTTTGTTCAAATCGAGGTACATTACTATATTGTTGGAAATTTACAGGGAAAGGTTCGGTGATTCGACACAAAGCAAAACCATTAGTTGATTTGGGCGGTTTGAGCCGAAGAAATGAAGACGGTGTGTCAGTTGCTCGACAAAGATCACCAAGCGATTTGATTGAGTATCATAGCGACATCCCAAACCCCATGCTATGGCGGCAAGATGATAACTCGTATTTTGGTTTTGCCGTGTCATCGGGCTATTTCGATGGAATCGGAAAGACAAAGTTACTTTATTTGGCCAGTGCCCCACAAGCAAACCAACAAGAAGGAGCCGTTTATATTTTTGACATTATTGATCATTATTCAGCATTAGACAAAACCATAAAAATCTATCACACATTTTCGGGTCAACAATTTGGTGAATATTTTGGATACAGTCTTCTCACCGAAGATTTCGATAATGATGGTCTTACTGATGTTGCCATCGGGGCACCATACAATTCCAAAATTGGATATCGTGAAAATGGTGCGGTTTATATCTATAGAAATGAAGGAACCTCATCGAATTTTGCACTACATGCCATTTTGCGCACGGAATATGAATCTGATGGAAGATTTGGTACGACTATGTCAAAAGTTGGCGATGTAAACCAAGATGGATACAATGGTAAATTTACAAATTTGCAAATGGAATTTGTGACTTAGAATGCATTAAAAAATATTCTGCTTTTTTTAGATTTAGTTGTTGCTGCACCATTCGAAGAAGATGGCGTTGTTTATATTTACCATGGTAGTTCAAATGGTTTATCAACCAAATACAGTCAGAGAATAGCTTCTCCAAGTAGCAATGGTGGTTTGGCGCCAAATCATATGTTCGGACATGGTGTGTCAAAAGGAGCTGATATCGATGGAAATCAGTATTTGGATTTGGCAGTTGGTGCACCAAACGCTGAAGCCGTTTATATTTACAAATCTTATCCTGTAATTCGAATCAATGCGACAATTACGCCATTCAGTCAAGAGATTCAAACCACCGACAAATCATTCAAATTCAACGTGTGCTGGCTATACGAATCAACATTCCCCATTAATTTCGATGTACATTTCAATGCCACGATTAAACTTGATGGTCAATTGGGTCGTGCAGTTTTTTCCGATCGCAAAAATGAATTCGACATCGTAGGCGTAATAACGCCAAGCGAGCAATGCACTTTACTTGAAGCTTTCGTTACATTTTCCATTGCTGAAATATTTCGACCGATTGAAATGGAAATGACACATCACATTCTTAACAACATACCAAAGGTTGACGATTCAAGTGAAACACAAGGTTCGAATTTTTTTGTGCACGAAAAAAACGAGTCGAATAAAACATAAAATTGATTTAATTACAGAATTTTGTGAGAAATGCGTTGCAGTCAATCCACTTGATTCGAAAAATGTTAAAAATAAAATTGTATTCAGCACCGGTTGTAAGAGCGCTCGTTGTATTGCCGATTTGAAAATTACAAGCTCATTGGAAAATGTTCCAAGGTAAACAAAAGAAGATTCCAATTTTTTTTGTTGTCATTTAATACAGACGGTACTCATAATAATTTGTTTTCTTCAACAGTTTGCCTTACGTTTTGGGAAGTAGCCAATCAATTAACATTGTTTATAAGATAGAAAATAGCGGCGAGACTGCTTATTTGGCCCAAATCCGTATAACATTACCAGAATCGGTTCTGTTTTCAAAAATTCCATCAAATTGTAAATTTGATGAAAATGCTCCAAATTCGAATATAATGGAATGTGATCTGAACAACGGCAGTCCAATGTTCAAAGGAGATAAAACTTCAATCAAAATGGGCATTGATACAACGAAACTAGATGGCAATGAGCTGATTGTGAAAGCCAAAGTTTACAGCACAGGTGATGAATTGAACGACCTAGATAATATTGTAGAGAATTTGATTCCGTTGAAAACATTTAACAACATGGAAGTGATTGGGTAAGATTTTGAAATTAAGTTACTTTGTTTTCCTCTCTAACCCCAATTACTTTGTTTCGTTTGCAGCGATTCAATCAAAAGTCGTTTAACTCTGGAAAGTGGAGTATTAATGGAAAATCTAACACATATATTCGAGGTATGACAGTAAAAATGTGTGCCGTATCTATTTCAGACATCTTATTCTATATAAATTTATTTAGATACGTAATAATGGTCCAAGTAATATAAAATCGTTGGATATTTTGGTGTCATTACCTGTATCACATATAAATCCGTGGACATTGGAGAGGGAGCGTCTGATCGACCTTAGCAGTGTATCGATTAAAAGCATGTACAATGGCAAACAATTCAATGTGGAATGGACTCAAAATAATACGATTTTAATATTGGATGCAACTGAATCGTCGACATCATCATCATCATCGAATACACCAGTTGAAGATAACAATGGAATGCAATTTGATGCATCAAAATATGGTCAGGAGTATGACTTAAGTGGTGGTCAATCGGGCAATAGTCAAATTGATGACTTTATTGGTGATCGAAAACGGAGATCAACTGAAAATGTGCACAGTGCATATTTCAATCCATATTTGCAGCGCATCATTGAAACGGATGCAGCAAGTTCAAATATAATGGCTTGGGATGATACAAATTTCATTGAAAATCGACACAAAAGAGATATATTCAGTACAAATGATCGAATCCTATCGAATTTACCATCGAATCGAACAATTTATTTTGATTGCAAAAATGCTGAACAGGAACTATGCTTACAGGGCAAATTCACAGTGAACAATATTAAAGCCGACGACCAACCCATTTTGATTACGTTGAATTTCACGATTGATTTGACGAAAGTAGCCAATATTATGACAGAGAAACGTGACGTGTTTGTTATTAGAACATCGGTCGACCTGATGAAAACGTCTGATGAAGAAGACACGTAAGTTTTAAGCACAGTGGATGGGTGTATGATACGAATATTAATGCATTTTATATTTGCAGGTCATCACTGAATGTCATTCAAAATCAACCGTTTACGATCATTTCCAAGTATGTAATAACTTCAACACCGTTATGGGTCTATATCCTTTCAACGCTTGTTGGCATTTTATCATTGATTCTCATCTCGTATGCACTGCACAGAGTAAGTTGAACAGCCATTTACAATAACAACATGCATTGATCATTAATATTTTATATTGCTCGCAGTTTGGATTCTTTAAACGTGGCAAACGAGAAGAATTGGTTCAGCTCAAGCGTCAAAGTCAAAATCAATCTTATTATCCACCTGATGATGATCAGTTCTAAATATATCAGATGTACAAAGCATGCCCAACAGAGTTCCTCCTCCTGGTCAGTTAAGTTTCCATTCCAAAGCAACGAGTTCAAGTATTATTCATTCCAAACATTGTGTGATCGAATTAGTTTTAGCATACTTAAATATTAATTTAATTGATCATCATCATTTGTGGACTATGTGTCCAAGTTGTATCAAATCTAAAAGTATTTTAATATTCTCATGATTTCACTTAAAAATTAATTTATGTCATTGTATTCGACGAACGAGGTTGAAAGACTAAAGGTTGAGTTTAGAAATGCTTTAAAATGAATCTAGTCGGTCGCTTATCAATATATCCTGCATTCGTAAAAATAGCGATATGTGCATTTCTTATCGAGTTTGCTTGTTGCTCACTTGTGACCGTATCTATTGTTTTTCAATGCATTTAATAAAATGAAACGATTTTTTTTTATTTAACATTGCATTCTTATTTTTTATTTTGTAGAGAAAACATTCATAAATTTAGTAAAATGAAATTGATTTCAAGAAATCTATATATATATATAAAAACAAAACTGTTTGTTTGTATCTGCTCGATTTTCTCTGAATGTACCCAATGGCCTTCAGTGGGGGTTGGGTCTGTGGGTAGCCCGTCATTTCCCATTGATAATAAGAGAGTTTGGTGGGGATTGGCTCTGACTTCTCTAGGAATTCATAGAAAATTGTCGCAGAAGATTCGTTGGTGACGTCATGGAAAATTCCATACCGTATATTTTAGAACATTCGATAATGGAAAAATACCAGATCAATAGAAATTTCCAGAACATTCGTTGGTGACGTCATGGAAAATTGAATCCCTTAGAATAAATCAACATTACTAGATAAATGTCTTCAAATGCGTTACTGAAAAAAGTCAGTCAGCAAAAGCGTTATAAAATATATGGACGATGTCACGCTTTTGCTGGCGAATTTTTTTATATAACGCGTCACATACAGTTTTTGACACTATTGCTGACGTACTTTTTTCTATAACGCATTTGAAGACATTTATCTAGTAATGCTGATTTGTTTTAGGTGGTTCAATTCCATACCGTATATTCTAGAACATTCGATAATGGAAAAATACCAGATCAATGGAAATTTCCAGAACATTCTATGATGACGTCATCACACACACCCCCACATACCCCCACACCCTCCCATACCCCCCATACCCCCACATACCCCCACACCCCCCACATACCCCCACCCACGAATGTTCTGGAAATTTCCATTGATCTGGTATTTTTCCATTATCGAATGTTCTAGAATATACGGCATGGAATTTTCCATGACGTCACCAACGAATGTTCTGGAAATTTTCTAGAAATTTCTCGAATTTTCTCGAACATTCTAGAATGTTCTATGGATTTCTATCGAATATTCTAGAAATTTCTGGAATGTTCTATGGATATAGATATAGATAAGCAAATTTTCTAAATGTCATGTAAAAAATACGATAACTTTCAAACAAGAAAAGTAATTCAAAATCTGACTTCACAAGGTGATTGGGGGTGCCGAGTAATAGATACCATTAGATTTTGAGCGACTTTGGTTGATAGAGTAAAGTGTCATGTCTGGTGTGATGCCCATGGCCATCTATGGGAACAATTCAAAATTTCTTCCAAAAGTGATATTTAATGTATTCTCAAACACTCAAAAATATGTATTGGAGTTTTTTTTGGTACGAGAAAACCGAATATGACATTAGTTCTGTGATACAAATAATTTTCGACTCACTTTTCATACAAACATTTCAAAAAATTTGGATTTTTGTATGAAAGCCATGCTTCTATGATATTGTAATGAGCTGAAACTTTGTACAGATTTTTTTTTTCACACGAAAATAATATTCGGAGAGTTTGAAGAAATTTCAATGCATATTAGGAGTACCTCCCGAACAAAATTTTGGATTTTTTTGCTCAAGAACAAAATTTTGTATGGGAGTTACCCCTCAATTGTATTGAAATTTCTTCAAACTTTCGGAATGTTAGCTTTTCGTGAGAAAATACCAAGGGCAAAGTTTCACGTCATTACGATGTCATACAGGCATGGCTTCCACACAAAAATCCAATTTTTTAGAAATGTTTGTATGAAAAGTGCGTCGAAAACTATTTGTATCACAAAACTAATGTCAGATTCAGTTTTTTCGTGAATTCAAATTACAGTAAAAGTAATAAATGCATGTTGTGGATCACAGTGCGGAAAAGTTCATCTTACGGATGTAAGAAATTTTATTTTTCTGTAATTTGACGAACGACTCACAAAAGATCAAGCGAAGCTGATCGATAAAAGCTAGTATTTACATATATATACATGTTTCATAAGCATTTATTTCTCGGGCAATCAATTGAAAACTGTTTTAAGTTCAAAAAAGAGTAAAAATGACTAGTATTAAAAATGAAATAAAAATGTAATAGTCATTAAGTGCGCGTGTTAATTTTTTTTTTGACGAAAAAGATAGCATGTGATACAAACTGAACTACATAATCTGATATTAGAACATATGTCATGATGATAAGAACTTTTACATTTCTACCCCCTCACTGTGAGAAAGGAATCTTATTTTGCACGAGCGAATAATTTGAATTTACCCAGATATCGTCACTACGTGTCACTACACGGGAATGGTTAGCAATCTAGGGGTTACACACATGTTTAAAATGAAGAATCTGTTCGATTTTGAAGATTCATATGATTCCATAACTATCAAATATGGAACACAAATATCTTATTATTATAACTGATTACATTTGCTTAAATTGAATATATAGACGTGTAGACTATGTGTTTTTCAAATAGAAAAACGTTTTGAATAAAAAATGGTTTTTAATGAACTTCTGATGATTGCATAATTATTTCTGTTTTCAATTTTGATGAATTTTGAAACGACGAATGGTTGGCCAAAGCATATTGATTGAGAATGAGACCTGTCGACAGACATGATGATCTTTGATTCAGATTTTGCAAGAGATTTTAGCATAAAACTTCATAAAATCGAAACAACCTTTTTTTTTCATTTAGCATCTTTTTTGTATTGCATCATTTTCTTTTGTAGAGAAAACATTTAATTTTTTTGTTATCACAAACTTGATATTGAAATGAAATTCTTTTAAATAAAATAAATTTAGGTGAAATAAAACAAAATGAAAGTTAAACGTCCTACTTGCTCTTGCTAGTAGTGATAAACACAGTTTTTGAGTCTCATATCAATATTCATGTTGCAATTAATCTATGTATAATTATGTGAGTAATTGTGGGTTATTACTAATGACGTAATTGACGTATGAATTTTTTACGCTTTTATCGCATTAAATCCTCATAATTTTTCATATGATAAATAATACAGGCATCTTTATTCTTGCCTATAAAAGTTGCGAGAAGGCTGCTTTTAATCGTCATTATTTTCAATTATGTTCAAAATTTGAGTCTTGATTTTTGGTCGTAGAATATCAAAAGTACAATTGAGTGACAGCAAAAGTGTTTCATATTAGAAAGTTTTTCTTTTTTTTTTAAATATTATTAGAAAATCTACTTAAAATGTTAGATAACAAATTATTGTTTTGGATAGTGCATATTTCAAAAGCTGCAACAATTATGATTATTTGCGCCTATAATAGCAGCGCATATAATATATCGCCAGTGCCAAATATCATATTGCGCACACCGGATGTCACAAATCACAGCTCTTATTTTGGATTTTCAATAAACTTAAAAACTAACAGGTAATATAGTTCAACATTGCGCATGTTATGAAAGAGCATGATGATTTCGTTTTTTTTAAATAGTATTTTGATCGGCGCGCCTCAAGCGCAGCCAAAACATCAAATGGAAATAAATAATCCGGGTGCTATCTACAAATGTAATTTAAACGAGACTTCTAGTGAAAAGTGCAAACCTTTGCTTTTCGATAAAATGGGTAATGCAGGAGCTCTTTTTAACAAAACTAATCAATGGCTGGGAATGTCCTTAGACGGTGGTGCTTCTGAAAATCAACCATTTGTGGTTAGTAATCGCAAAAAAGCTATTAGCTAAAAACATAAACGTCTAAAGTTTAACTGTGTCGTTGATTCATTAGATATGTGCGCCACGATTTGTAACAAATTGCCCCGGGTGTGATGAAACTGAAACGAAACCGTGGGCTAATCCATATACGCTCTATGATACTGCCATGCACGGTGTGTGTTATTGGAGTGCAGATACTTCGTCTGATCAACCGGATAATTTTGAACAAGTTTTAAATATAACTAAAAATCAATTGATTGACGATATGAAATTTATTAAGAAATTTAAAATCACATATCGCGAAAAAAAGTATTTTTTGGGCGAGATTGGTTTTAGTGTTCATATAACTGAAAATAATGAAGAAATTTTAATTGGTGCACCAGGAGTGGGAGATGGTTTTAGAGGTCTGGCCATTCGAAAGAATGTAAAAGATTTACGGTCCAATTTAAATGCTCTTAATAAACATGAAGTGGCCGACTCACTAAAATGGTACAATGGCGACTATAGAAGACAAAATACTTTATTTGGCTATGCAATTTCATCTGGTTATTTTGACAATCGCAATCAATCGAAGTTACTTTACGTGGCCAGTGCACCAAAAGAATGTGCAAAAAATGATTGGACTGGTGCGCATCCCGGTATTGTATACATATTTGATTTTGTGACCACTTCGTCAGGAATACGAATGAAAAGATATTTTCAATTTCAAAGTGAATATTGGCATGAGTATTTCGGATACAGTCTATTAGTTGATGACTTCAATGGCGATGGATATGATGATATTGCTATCGGTGCTCCACAAAATACATTCAATGAGACAAATAGTCGTTACTATACAAATGGTGCAGTATACATATATACAAATCTCGGAACATCACCGGTAAATTTCACTTTGCAAACCATTCTGCGAATAGATTCAGATAAAAATGATTGCCGATTTGGACAAACACTGTCAAAGGCTGGCGACATCAATCATGATGGTTACAATGGTAAACGAGAAATTGTTATAGATCTTTGAAGTTTTTGTTTAAATATATTCATTTTAATTTGGCGTGCAGATCTCATAGTTGCAGCACCATTCGAAGGGGATGGAGCGATTTATATTTATTTTGGCAGTTCGAATGGCTTATCAGAAATACCTGACCAGAAAATCAAAGCACCATCCATCGGCTCATACCCTCAATGGTTTGGACATGGCATATCGAAGGGAGTCGATATAGATGGAAACAATTATGTTGATTTTGCCGTTGGTTCACCAAATGCCGATGCTGTTTATATTTACAAGTCGTATCCGGTTATTAAAATCAATGCCACAATCAAAACCATAAAGAAATCAATTCGTCCCAACGACAAATCATTTACATTCATGGTTTGCTTTCAATATGAATCAAAATTTTCGATTGATTTTCCCATTCAGCTTAATGCGAATGTAAGGCTTATTGATTGTTTTGGTCGTGCATACTTTCAAAATGGTGACCATTGCGATGGAAAAAATCAATGCAACATTACTATTTCATTATCACTCGATGCTAAATTGAAATGTGTTCAATTGGAAGCGGCGGTTATTTTCAAAACAAACTACATTTACACCCCGATCCGTATTCAAACCAGCTATGAAGTGGTAAATGGCATTCCAAATTATAATATTGAAGAATCATCAACAACTATAGCGAAAGGTATTTTTTATTTATTATTATTTGAATTCTTCCTTTCTTATAATTAATCGTTTCTTTGAAATGTTTTAGAATTCTGTGAAAATTGTGTTGCACTCAATCCAAATTGTCCAAAAAATGTATTTACCGACATCAAATTTAGTAAGACTGGTTGCAAGGATGACCATTGTATTGTCGACTTGAAAGTAACGAGCACGCCAAAGTTTGATTCGACACAATGTAATGGATTACGATTGGGAGTTCCATCGATGCAAATAGAATATAAAATTGAAAATTACGGCGAAGTAGCATATTGTGCGAATATTTTCATATCAATACCAATCTACATACAATTTATGAAAATACCATCGTATTGTGAGGAAAACGTCACAGACTCAAACAATATAAACTGCACGTTGACTGCTGATACAGCAATCGCTACGGGCGGTAGTGTTAAATTCAATATTGGCATTGACACAGGCAAACTAACTAGTCCCGAATCACTTCGTATTGAAGCGAAAGTGTTCAGTAATAAAAATGACATTGAATCAAATAATTCGGACAACACAGTGGTGGATATGGTTCCTGTTGTTGATTTCAGTAAAATTGAAATTTTTGGGTGAGTTTTAAAACTATTTTTCTATTCGCATGGATTAGTGCATAATTTTCAACTTTTTTTCAAAAGATACTCAACGTTTCTATCAACGGATAACATCATTAAAATCCAAGATGAAACAAAAAAAGTGAATTTAACGCATGTATTTGAGGTACTATTGATATTTTTTTTTCATATTTTATGTACTGTGCACACTCAATATTTTCTTTGCTCGTTTTTGCAGATTGAAAACCATGGTCCAAGTAATATTTCGTCTCTGGATGTAATTATTCATATTCCGAGAATATATGTAAATCTTATCACAGAAAATAAAAAAGAATTTATTGACGTAGATGAGGTATCAGTTCAGAATGGCGTCAACGGAACAAAGATTGACATCGAATGGTCGTTTAATGAAAATGAGATAAATAACACAAGAGATACCGTTACATTTAATAATACGCACACAAAGAATCACATTTTGAGAAATCTAAAAATTGATGACATCTTTTATTTCGAGTGCAACAATTCAACGGATGAAGGTTGCATGCAAGGAAAGTTTACAGTAAATGATTTGAATATAGATAAGCCAATTAACGTTATTGTAAATATTCCAATCGATATGAAATCTGTTGCAAAAATCACACCGAATTTAGTATTCATTACCTCCGTCCTAGTTATGAAAACATCTAAACAAAATTGGTAAAATTATCTGCGTTATATTATGAGTATGAATCCTTAATTAATGACTATTAATTTGCAGTTCGTCAATAGACATCGTTCAAAATCCATACACAATTTTTAGTTTTCCACCTACGGAAAAAGAGTCATTGTGGATTTATGTTGTTGTTTCGAGCATTCTTGGACTTTTCATATTGAACAGCCTCGCGTTCACAATGTATAAGGTATGACGTTTATGCTTTAATCTGTTGAATCTTCTAAGGGTCTTATTAATTTTGACATTTTTTGCAGTTGGAATTTTTCAGACGAACCAAGCATGAAGAATTGATAAAATTAAAACTTAATTTGGATAATCACAATGAAGCAAGAAAATCTTACACATGTACCTAAACGAATTCCGCTTATCATGTTATACATACGGAAAAGCGGTGTTTCTAGTTTCTGCGTGGCGTTCATTCCCATAGACATCTTCTTTGAGTAAATCTACAATTTCAATCATTTTTTTTCATTGAAAATAAAATTTTGAATCAAACTTGTGCTTTGAATTTATATCATTTTTTTATTGATCAATTCTTTTCTTTTATCAATTCAGCTTGTGATTTTTTCTAGTCTTTTTATTGCTAATTCTATCACAAAACAAAAACGCGACATAGTAACGCACCCAGAAATAAATAATTCCCAGGCTACAATAAACACTAATTAATAGTAATGGTAAAAATGGCAGTCTTCTATCTAATTTTAGTAAATATTGTAGGCAAAATTCGTAGAAAAGTAATCCAACCAAGCCAATAATATACAGTAGTTCATAAATTGGAAAAATACACTTGTTATTTGCTGTTGGCCATATACTCCATTGACCGTTTGCGATGATGAGTATGTGTGTGACGAGCAAACTGATTTTAATGACTGCCAAATTTGATCTAAAAAGCAGTGGAAACAATGAGAAATACGACACAATCGACAAGAATCCCATGTGCTTGTATTCGCTTTCATTGATTGTCATGAGAATACTGAAAGAAGACCAGGACAGATTGAATTGAATTATGAATTTCTTCGAATCGTAATAGTGACAAGAACTAACCTCAATGGAATGACTGCCATTAAAATTGCTTTCTCATGAACATGCCAACCGAATAAGAATGATGTGCATCCACAAATGACAATGCCACGAATAAAGTCGAACTTGCTTGTGGATCTGTAAAGTTAAGAAATTATTTCTCACAGCTCGCATCAAGTAAAAGTCAAAAAACATACTTATTGTAGGCTCCGAAGGCAATTTTCATGATGCACGGAATCATAGCCACGATGGTGATTATGAATGTTGTATGTGGTTGAATCACGGGTAAAACTTCATGACTATATTCTTGTACGAGTCCACCGGTGTTCGATGAATTCGAGGCACTGCCCAGGCCAATCGATGCCGCTTTATCAACAATGTTATAAATGGCCCAAAAATTTGGTGCCTGTAATTGAGAGAATGAAAATATAATTATTCCATTAACAGAATTTCGTATATAAGAAAAAAAGAATTACCCAATACGCATGACAGAGTCCCCGTTTAAATGGAAACAAACGTGACAAAACCTAATTGACGAAATGCTTAAAGCAATAATAATAAATGAAAATTGAAAGATTGGCAAACCTGTGGCATTTGATGCATGAATGGTCCAAACGACACCATAGTTACTCCAATTGTAATCATTCCTAATTTCGTCAAGTTCAATATTGCTCTCGGGAGCGATAAACTGTGCCAGCAATACACTTTCAACAAATACACAATGTATACCGGGCTTACATAAACGAAGATGTGCTTCATATTCAATAGAACGGCAAAACAAAATGCGGACTTTAAAAACTTTTCTTCGCACATGTAAGCTATGCTTAGCAATAAAATTCCGAATAGAATTCCATTGTATTGAAAATGAATGTGATCGATGATTAACAGTCCGAAATTTCCCAATAAGACAGCGCATAAGATTCGTTGTTTGGATGCGGTGGGAGACAAATGAGCGATACATCTGGAAAGTAAGAAAATGTGGGAAAAATGTCAGAATCATTTGCCGTTCGATCAGTTTATAATCACCTTTTCGCTCCAATGGCATACACAATGTCGGTGATAATAACCGAGAGACGTTGAAACTCTATCGTTTCATTGGAATCATAATTGAGATTATCCACTTTCAGCATGTTTTCATCGAAGTATTTGGCGAAATGTGACAGTATATACTCGAAATACGCGAATATTGGAGGATAATCCAATGTCCATTCGCTTGTTGCTTCGACATACCTAAGGGGAGAATTACAAAAGAAAAGAATAAAATTTAAAATAATCGATAAGTAATCGGAAAATAATCGAAAAACAATCAATAATAATTAATAAGTAATTTTTAAGTGATTTGCCCCTTCGACATACCATTTTGATATTGGCAATGAATGTGTTATTGCCAGCCAATTTCGATGTACCTCAAAATCGGTCGACCGGCTAAAATGAAATGCAAGAGAGTTATGAAACAAAAAATGCACTTTGTCATTTTATGGGGTCTGTGTATGAAGATACTTACTATGCCGGCAAAAATAGCAACTTGATAGCAGTTACCAGTCCAAAAATTGACCAAAACATGCCTTCAATAGATAAACTCTTGTCCAATCTGTTGTTTTGCTGTGATGTGTCAAAATTTGATGTTATGATGCAACCAACGCCATCTAGTCAAAAATATTTAAGATAATCAAACTCAAATCATCTTGAATCATTAAATAATAATCGTGATTCTTGTAAAAATTTAAAGGATCAGGGATTGTTATGAATCCTACAAATATGTTCCTTCAAAAATGTTCTATCTATCCTTGGCGGTGTTTAAACAATGGGTTTGGAGCTTGAATAGTGCACGAAAAGTTCAAAACTTAATGGAAAAAAGCGGATTCCATGCATTCAATTGAGACTTACATTTTGGCGGTTTTCAATATTCCAGTCGCATCGGACACCACACAGTACGATTGACATGATCATATGTAGCTTGAGTTGTGCCATTGACCGATCAAGTGTGACTAACGCAATGTTTACACAAATTGATTCATTTCAAACTATTGCTTAGTCCACATAAAACTATAGCCATATTACCTCACATAATAATCGATAAGATAAACGCTTGTAACATTAAAATTATTCACATAATTTATAAAAAATGGGTAAACTCCTAACAAAATGTGTGTCCTCCGGTGAGCGTGCCAGTGAAAATAACAATTCAGAAAAACCACAACTCAATGGTGCCAAAAAGTAAGTCAATATTTGTTTAGTAGCTTCAAAACTGAAAATTTATCAATATTAAATAAACATGATATGTTTATGTTTTACAATCAATCAAACAAATTGATTACATTGATAGTATATGTATGGTATACAAATTAATGATAATACATTTCAACATATTGTGAAATTATAGAAACAAAGTCGCTCAAACAAAAACTAACATTTCGGATGCAAGCCCGAAACCAACAATGGCTGATAGAGCAGTACCAAAGCGCCAAATAGAATATTATTATAAAATGGATCACAAAAAACGTGGAATAGCTTTGATTTTTAATCATGAAAAATTTTATGATTTCGACGTTACAACTCGCATTGGAACCAACATCGATCGAGATCGATTGCACCAAACATTCAGCGGTCTTGGTTTTGATGTTATCATACATAACGATCGCACGGAAAGAGAAATAAAAACTATTTTGCAAGAAGGTATGTTAGGGCAATGAAATAAATTCACAAGTGGTTTTTGAATGAATTATTTTTTTTCACTTTCAGTTGCCGATATGGATCATTCGGACAGTGATTGTTTGGTGGTGATAATGTTGTCACACGGTAAATTTTATTGTGTTAATATTTTTGGTGAATTTCAACTAATTAAAAAAAAATGCTATATTTTAAGGTGCGTTGATACCATTTGTGGACTATACAACAGGCGAAGAGTCCAGCACGATTTTGTCTCACGATTTGATGGGTTACATTTATGCAAAAGACCGTCAATATCCTCTGCAGACAATCTGGCGATATTTTACGGATGAAAATTGTCCAACACTGAAAAACAAACCACGAATATTTATAATTCAAGCGTGTCAAGGCGATAGAACTGACGAAGGGTTCAAACTGCTGGCGAAAAGAAGTTTAGAAAGGCGCATTGAAACAGATGGAATACCATTTCAACCAATAAAATTGGAGTCATCGTTACCACAAAATGACTTTCTGATTGCGTACGCCACGTTGCCCGGATTTTTCTCATTTCGAAACACGGAAAGAGGTGCCTGGTTTGTGCAAACGCTATGCAAGGAAATAGATGAACGCAAAAGCAATTATGATCTAATCAAAATTCTCACATTTGTAAATCAGACAGTGGCTTACGACTACCAATCAAATGCAAATCGATCTGAATTGAACCAAAAGAAACAAATGCCGTGTGTCATGTCCATGCTTACAAAATTACTCTTATTTCCAAAAAAGGAAATTGTTTATTATTATTAACAAATGTTATTTTATGAATTATATTTATTGTTCGATTTGTATTGTTTCCATATTTATGAACGTTTTTCCTATCATTTTATATTTAAATATATTTTATGAACTTTGGATTTTTTTTTAATATAATCAAATTGTATATTTGCCATAAAAAAAAATTTATTTAAATTTTAATCGCATATTGACATGGAATTATGAATATTACTATCGATTTCATCTATAAATTATTTAATGAACAGTATTTCATAATGTTTGCAATTTTTATCATTTCTTTTTTATTCGAATTTTTTCATATTTTATGTATTTGCTTAGTACTTATATGAGATTTTAACGCATTCTTATTCAAATTTAGTTAATTTTTAAATAAAATTCGAGGATAAATACTTAGATTGAACTGATTTATATTGTATTTTGTTATGAGGATACTCAGAAATAATTCATAATTCGTTTTTTAAAAGCCATTACATCATGAAGAATCTGATTCCGTCGTTGAAATGGAAGATTAGATTTCGATTCTATTTTTCATTCTTTACATCATATCATTACTTTTCCTACATCTTTATTTATTTTTCACTTTAATTTTTTTTAAATGCCACACGCAAACATAAAAAAATCACGTTAAAAGTGCATATCTCTCTGTCCGCAGTCTGTCATCACTTTAACCCCACTGTATCGATGTGCCCCCAAATTTATCACTTTAAACTTTTGACTCGTGGTGCATACCACAGCAACAATGAAAAAAAATTTAATACAGAAAGTTGAGCATTTCAAGCGCTATTCAAAGATTTCCAATATCTTTTCATTTGGCCCAAATATTCTCAATCGAAAAAAAAAAGTGTATCAGTCTTTCTCCCACTTCCCCTATGTAGAATAGAATTATTTATTTCAAGTCGACTTTTTACCCTCTATATGGATAAAAATGTTCTAAATGTGTGTTGTAAATTTGGCCAATTTTCGAGATAATATAAATATATTATAATCATAACAGAGTTTCAAAGTGCACAAAAACCGTCTTGAGTTCAATTACGCGATACAGAGTCATGATTATAACAAGTCATAAAGATAAAGCATCATTATTATAAAAAGAGTCATGTTAATTAGGATTAAAGATGAATTTTTAATTTAAAAAACGCATTATAATATCTGTATAAATATAGACAGTCCGTAGTCGGCTCCTAACTCTTTTCTCGTTCATTGATCTAAGAGACATCAAATTGGTTTTCAAAATGAAACTGAAGTTGTTTATTATTTGTTGTGTGATCCATTCAATATTTGCGATTGATCTTTTCGGTTTAATAAGTAATCTGTTGTAAACATTCACATTTAATTTTAAAATTTTAATTTTCTTCATCAATTTTAAATTAGAAAATCCAATTTCGAGCATAGTCGGTGGTGAAAATGCAGAAGAAGAAGAGGCAGCAAAAAGTGTTGCAAACTATGAATGTTCTATACAATTTATTCGATATCATATGTGTGCAGGTTCGATAATATCAGCTAAATGGATTCTTTCTTCTGCTCACTGTGTCATGGAGTATGTTTTATGTAAAAAAAATGTGTTCAAAACTAATTTTCTTACATGCAAATAGAGAAACATTTATGCTTAACGTTTTGGTGGGAACAAGAAACTTGCGAAGAGGTGGTAAACGGCATGGGATCCAGAAGATTATTTCGCATGAAAATAAAGATATTGCACTTTTATTAGTAAAAGAATCTATTGAATTCAATGAAAACGTTCAGGCGATTGGACTACGAAAAACTGAAGTACCAGAGAATGCTCAAGTTACGTTGTCGATTTGGGGTTCTATGAGAGTAAGAACTTGTGTCTTTTGTTTTGCTATTGAAAAGAAATAATCCATAATTGAAATTGTTAAATAGTATGGTGTACTGTTCGATAAAAGTGTACATAGCATTACCTTGAAGGTCGAGCCCGCAGACAAATGTAGATATATGTACAAAAGTAAAGATGTTGACATTAACAGCAAATACATGTGCACTTCATCGACAGCCCAAGGTGATTGCAATGTAAGTATTCCCGTTATAAATAACATTAACATCTGTAAGAAGTCAAGCGAATAAGACATTCCTTTAACTGTAGATAGATACTGGTGCACCTCTCATGTATGAGAATAAAATTGCGGGAGTTGTAACTTTGACTGTTCCGTAAGTTTAATTGATTTAAATAAATTTAATTTGACCACCGAAATAAACTAATTTTTATATTCATTTTTTCCAAAGATGCTATAATGGTTTGCCAAACGTGTATACAAAGATTTCCTGTGTACATGACTGGATTCAAGAGCAAACAAAATCAACCTGAATACATTAATTTTATATTTTTGAGTAGGTGTACGGAACATACAAAAATCGGGGTTTAGTTAGTTGTGTTAAGGGAAAAAATGGTGGCGGATGCACCAAAGACATTTCCAAGGCTAAATCAGTGCATGATTCAGGTTTTATATGCGCAATTTTTATAATTGCCTCAATTGGTTTCTTTTTGTTATCACACAAAGTTCAAGTTGAACGTATTGCCAGTGAAAATATTGATAATGTTCTCGCAGACGGTTTTTTTATTGTATGATTTATTTTGGTGAATTTCAACTGATTTAAAAAAAATGGTTATATCCTTACATATTTTGAGGTTCGTTGACACCATTTGTGAACCGGTGAAGAGACTAGCACGATCTTATTTCACGATTTGATGGGTTACATTAAAAATACTTTTAAATATAATCAAATTGTATGTTTGTCATAAGAAATAAAACTCATTTAAATTTTAATCACATATTGACATGGTATTATGAACATTACTATCGATTTCATCTACATATAAATTATTTAATTAACCATCAAATATGGATGAAAACCTTTTTAGGATAGGAGATAATTTTGAAAATTGCGAGAAATGTTATATGGATAAAAACATGCTAAAAGTCAATTTGGCCAATATTTGACAACAGCAATCATTTAAAGACCGACTATACCTTTCGGTGTGTGGTCTTTTTACGAAATGACTAGAAGCTTCCCTATTGAGAGCCAGTCTCTACACCAATCATACCCTCCAACATCCAAATCAAACTTAACCGAATCTAAATACCGTCTCTGTTTCTCGCAAATTTTTGAGGTAATGTAAATATATTATAATCTTGAAAAACTCCCAAAGTGCACAAAAACCGCGTTGAATTCAAGTACGCGATAAAGAGTCATGATTATAAGATTAAAGATTAATTTTTAATAAAAACACATTATAAAATCTGTATAAATATAGATAGTCCGTAGTCCTTCACTAGCTCTTTCATTGATTTCTAGACGTCAAATTTGTTTTCAAAATGAAATTAAAGTTGTTTATTATTTGTTGTGTGCTCCAATCAATATTCGGGTTTAATCTGTCCGATTCAATAGGTAATTTGTTATAAATTAAGTGTATTTAATTTTAAAAATGTACCTTTCTTCATCAATTTAAAAATTAGAATATCCACCACAGCTTCCATTTTCGCGCATAGTCGGTGGCAAAAATGCAGAAGAAGGTGCTGCAAAATATCAATGTTCCATACAATTATTTGGACAACATATGTGTGGATGTGCGATAATATCACCTGAATGGATTCTTTCTGCCGGTCACTGTGCCATCGGGTATGTTTTATGCAGAGCAATATATGCCCAAAACTAATTTTCTTGTATGCAAACAGAGTACCGTTTCTTTTCCGAGTTTTGGTGGGAACAAACAACTTGCGATGCGGTGGTAAACGGTATGGGATTCAGGAGATTATTAGGCATGAAGAATATAACAAACCGAAATTTGCAAATGATATTGCAATTTTTCGGATAAAAGGATCTATTGAATTCAATGAAAAAGTTCAGCCGATTGAACTACGGGAAGATGAAGTACCAGACAATGGTCAAGTTACGTTGACGGGTTGGGGTGCTGTGAGGGTAAGAACTTGTGTCTTGTTTGGCTATTGAAAAGAAATAATACAAAATTTAAATTGTTAAACAGACTGGTGGACTGTCCGCACAACATTTACAAATCATTACCTTGAATGCCGTGTCCACAGAAAGATGTCGAAAAATTTACAAAAGTGAAAATGTTGACGTTCACAACAGTCACATTTGTACTTTAACGAAAACCGGCGAAGGTGCTTGTAATGTAAGTATTCCTGGTTATAAATAACCATAAACATCGGTGAGAAGTCAAGCGAATAAGAAAATTCTTTAACTGTAGGGAGATTCTGGGGGACCTCTCGTCTATGACAGTAAACTTGTGGGAATTGTAAATTGGGGTGTTCCGTAAGTTTAATTAATTTGAATAAATTTAATTTGACCATCAAAATAAACTAATTTTTATGTTCCTCTTTTAAAAAAAGGTGCGCTCAAGGCTATCCAGACGCGTATGCAAAGATTTCCTATCTATATAACTGGATTCAAAAGCAAACAAAACTAAATTGAATACATATACTTTGATTTTGAGTTATAAAAGCGTTTAATTTGAATAAAATTGAATTATTTTAATGTTTACCCTTGAATAATAAGAATAATTATAACATGAACTCATATCAAGCGAAAGGCTGTAAAATACACAAAATCTATAAAAAATCCAAAAATCATGTATTTCATTTTCAATAAAGAGTAATTTAGCAAGGTTTGAATAACATAAAAAAAATTCTGACCAACTTCACCTTATTAAGTATCTTCACCTGGAAATCAATTCCATTGACCGTAAATTAGATTTTTCTTTCAGATTCAATTGTTTTAAATCAGTACATGATTCAGGTTTTATTACGCGCAATTCTTTATAATTGCCTCAATCGGTTTCTTTGTGTTATCACACAAAGTTCAAGTTGAAGTGCATTGCCGAAAGGAAAAAAACACAAAAGCGAGTGAGCAGGTATCTAAACAGAATCACTTTATTGCAATGATTAAGCATGGGAAAACCACTTTTACCACTCTCTTTCCAAGCAATACAAATTCCAGACATTTGAGTGCCAACGATAAATAATGATCGATAAGAATCTATTACTAAATTCCATATGCGTAATTAATTCTCGTGTCAAGGAACTATAGACATTTGGAGCATGCCCAAAACAACCATATAAATATTTAAAAATATATAAAAGTACCTCGAAATCTTTAGAGAGATTCGAATTTTGCGAATTCAAAGAGTCCCCAAATAAATTCCAGCTTAAAAATGTAATAAAAGTGAACCTTGTCTATTTTCATTTAAAAAGTGCTTACAATTTGTGTGCACTCAACAATTTGTTAGCATTAGGAATGTCACATTTAAGTCACCATGTGTAATCTATAGTGTGTTCCTTATTAAAGTGCAAAATAGATAATAAATCATCAGCACTGATAAAAATATATCTTTCTTTGGTTTGTTCGTTGCTATTTGAAAAAAAAAAAAATGCTTCAATAGTTTTATATAAATAGTGCATTGCTTCGCTTAACAATCCATAAGTTCTTTAGTTGTTCAACGATTAGAAGAAACGGATAAAATTCAAAATGAAGCTAAAACTATTCATTCTGTGCTGTATTTTGCAGTCAATCACTGCGTTCACTTTGTCAGATTTGATAAGTAAGTCATTTTGTAAATAAATTCCATCGTTATGGTGACAAAATGTCATTACATACATACCTTTTCAGTGTATCCACCGCAAGGGATATCATCACGTATTGTCGGTGGAGAAGATGCGGAAGATGGTGCAGCGCCATTTCAATGTTCATTGCAGTCGTCCAAAAGACATTTCTGTGGATGTGCAATTGTGTCAAAAAATTGGATTGTGACAGCGTCTCACTGCGTAATTGGGTAAGTGCGTGTTCTTCATTTTCAACAACAAATTTCGAATTAATTTAGATAAACATTAACGTTAAACAGACAATCATCAAGAACCCTTGAGGTCTTGGTTGGAACTAATGATTTGAAAAATGGTGGAATATACTACAAAGTGGCCAGATACTTTGCACACGAACAGTATGATTCCCCCGCATTTGCTAACGACATCGCTCTTATCAAAGTTAAAGATGAAATTGAATTCACTGAAAAGGTGAAGCCAATCGAATTGTCGAAGGATGAAGTGCCAGATGGTGCTGAGCTCACCTTGACAGGCTGGGGCCGATTAAGTGTAAGTTTTCCGTTTATTTTTTATGGTTTCTATGAGAATCTTTACAATTTGCTTTTATGTAGGCGGGCGGTGCATTACCACAACTTCTTCAAGTCATTCAATTGAATGCGGTTCAAACAGAACGATGCAGAGACATTTTTGGTGGCCGCAATGTTCACGACAGTCACATCTGTTCATTTACGAAACGCGGCGAGGGAGCTTGTAATGTGAGTTCATTTTTGCCTCGAACTTTGATGAACTATTAATACTTATCAAAATTGATGTAGGGAGATTCTGGGGGACCTCTCGTGTACCAAAACAAACTAATCGGTGTAGTAAATTGGGGTGTACCGTGTGCTTTGGGCTATCCGGATGCCTATGCAAAAGTTTCGTACTTGTACGACTGGGTTGAAAATACAACCGCTTCAAACTGAAAATACGTGGTTATGCTGTGACTTTTTCTTTCAGAACAAATGGACATGAAATTCGTGTAAAAAAATCTAAATAAAACATTTTTTAGCTAGTTCAATCAAATTTTGTATGCTTTTATTTTAAAACTCTCAATTTTTTATCGAATTAAAGACGCAGTACTTGCTATAAACATTTCAATGAGCAAAGCTTTATTTGATTTGGCCACAGAAAATCAAAGACTTGATAAAATATGTTTGTTTTTCTTTATTTGTAAAAATGATTTCGAAATACATGCACAAGATAATTTAAAGAAATTAATACGTGAACATGTTTTATTCACTATCAAAATTGAGTGGAAATTGTTATAACGAGTTTTTATTTTGCCATTTTTACTTTTTATAAGTCTAAATTGTGTAATCTGTATTATTTTGAGTTGATCCGAATCAAACTCCCAATTCAACAAAACGCATTTAACCAAATTCGTTCTTAAACTGTATGCTTTTCAGAAAACTGAAAATTAAGTTCCCATAAATTTCTCAGCAGAAATAACAAAATGTAGAAAAGAGAAAAAAAGAAGAGTTATTATGAATTAATAATAATAATGAATGGAAACAATAGTTAATGTTGCTTAATGGCAATTCACTAATTGAAATGTGTATTTGTGTGTTTGCATATTGAATGATGATTTTTGATTTTGGTCGTATTCGTTATTTTCATTCACTTTTTTCTGATTTAATGTCATCATCCTCGTAGATCGGCTCTTCTTCCTTAACATTGCTGTCCTCGTGCAATAGAATGTATTCACGTGAGCTAAAACCAAATTTCAACATATCTCGTTCGCGCAACTCAAAATACCTAGGGATGAAATGAATGGAAACAATGGAAATTAATCAATAAGTATTGAAACAGAATGGAAAAAGAATCGACCGAATGGAACTCAAAATACTTTCGTGGCTCAATTTTGTTATTGTTAACAAATGTCCCGTTGGCCGAATCCAAATCGATGATATACGGTCTCACGTGCTTGCCCACGGTTCCATCTTCTCGATCATAATTCACCAAACGATACTGAAGTGCAGCATGTTGTTTTGAGCATGACGGATGATCGACGGCAATTTCGCAAATTTTCTTTTCACGACCAATCAAAAAACAACTTTGACGATGAATGTAAATTGTGCTCAGCGATTGATCATTTTTGAATGGATATAAACGCCAACGTCGCTTTGGTCGTCGAGCTTCGGGTGGTTCAGCATACTTGATAACAATACCATTCACTTTATTCGCATCTTCGGTTAGCTTTCCACTCAGGCCAAAATTTGGCTTTTCTTTTTCGACGGGCGGTTCTGTTTCATCGGGCTTTTTATCTACATCAGTTTTACCTAAGCGACGAATCAGCAAAGAAAATGATAAACATTAGTTAAACAATTTGTGGAAATAACCATGTCATAATGGAAAAGAAGCAAAACTAAAGTACTCTGTATCCCCTTACTCTGTATCAAACATATGTAGTCCTTTCCACAATCATCATCTCTTACACATTACAATTGAATAAATGGACTTCGAATGATGATGATAGCGGAAATTTTTTTTATATTGTAAAAAATACAAATCTATCGAAGATTCAAATTCGCTTTACCCCATGTGTAGTTTCCATTGTCCTCTTCTCTGTTGTTATACTTGCGGCGATTGGCTGAACCATTTTTATCATTCCGCTCATTCCGGTCATTACGATCATTCCGCTCATTCCGGTCGTTCCGGTCACTACGATCATTCCTATCATTTCGTTCACTGTCATTCCGACTGCTCCTGTCATTCCTATCGGGTTTTTGGCCATCGTGCCTTTACGGTTGAAATAATTAAAAAAAAAATCTTAGTTTTCATAAAATGATGGCGTTAAAAATTCTTTACATACCGAAAATCCGACGGCTCATCTGGATTCTTGTTTCGCCGAAATGGATTCGATCGGACTGGTGTTCGGGGCCGTTCACCACTACCACCTCTACCACCAATACCACCACGGTCAGCACTTCGATTTGGTGAACGTTTATCTCTGGCATCTCGTTCATTGCGATTTCTTTCATGCTCATTACGATCTCTTTGCCGTTGTGGTTCATTGCGTGATCTATCCATATCGCGATCGTTGAAATCACGTTTATTTTCTGGTCGTCTTTCTTGTGGAAATCGTTCACCTCGAGCCGAAGAGTCTCGAAACTCGCGTCGATTGTCATTGTAATTAAAACGTGGTGCATTGTCACGTCGGTTATCTTGTCGATCGTCAAAACGGCCACGATTCACGTTACCTTTGGGCGAAAAACTTCGCTTAAACTCATTTTGTGGTCGACCAAAACGTCCTTCATCTCCTCGGAATCGTCGATCTCTATTCAAATCACCACGATCATCCTTGCGAAAACGTTCTGGAAATTCTAAAATGAAACATATACATGTGTGATATTTTCGCATATTAACACATATTGCATTGCTAAAAATTAACCTGGAGCTCGTTCTCTGTTCCTCCATTCTGATTGATTTGTATCATCACGTCTATCTCGACGAACTTCCGTCTCCGGATGTTTCCTCTCGCCTCTGTCTTGGCGTTGCATGCGCGGCGATTCACGACCTCTTTCATTTCTGTCTCGATAATTATTCGGTCGTACATCTGAATTGCGTTGTTCACCACCGACTCGCCTTTGAGCTGGTGATTCGCGTTTTCTGAGAAACAAACGAAATTCACTTCCATTGTAATTTAATATGAGAGTATCAGTTTGTGTTTTTGTATAGGCCAGAATTTAAATAATTTTAATTCGATTTTATAAAATTGTTGCTCTGCACCATCTTACCCGATTCTGTATTGTCTTGTTTTTTTTTTGGTAAAAGAAAAAAATAGACAATTTTTTTACCGAAAGTGATATAATAACTGCGAATTAATCTAACTCCGTGAACACACGTGATGCAGAAGCCCGGATGTGACATGTGTGTGGTGCGAAATTGTAAACATTTGTTGTTTGTTGAATTAATTGGTTGCAATTGTTGTATCGATGCAATCAGCTGGTTCAGCAAAATGTTGCATTTAATGTGTTTTTTTTTGTTTGAAACACATTTTCCAATTTCATTTCATTCCACAGCACCGGAGTTAGTCAAAATCGCACAATGTATAGATATTATTGCTGTTTTTTATCGAATCGGGCTTTTGGTCGGAGCGACTAACTGATTCGAAACATGCGTTTGTGTGAGTATGTGTTGATTAAGTGTGTTTTGATCTCGCCGACTGGCACAAAGAAAATGTGTGGCCGGATATATAGGTTATTTTATACGCTTGAACTTGATTTTTTTTTCATTCTCAAGTTCAATTTACGACAACATATGCAATAAAGGACCTTAAACAAATACATAAACATTGCATTAAAAATTGCAAATTGATTTTTTGACAGGTACAGCTACAACAAATGTGCCAAAAAATTGAAATTTGATCTTTCTTGAGTTGACACTAGTTTGTTAAGTAATGTTTTTTTTTTGTGAATGCAAGTTAACAAAAAACCACTCAATAATTCTTAGAATTTGCTGGTTTTTTCGTTTTGTCACCAATACAAAAACTCTCTACGCTGTACGTAAAAAGTTTTGTGTTACTCAAAAAAGGCGGAAGAGAATTACCGTTTTCGTTCAAAATCGTCACCCGGACTGTCCCATTTTGATTTGTAATCGCCACGATCGTTTGAATTTTCGCGTGGTACACGTTTGCGATCTTCGACGCCACTGCCGACACCACCACGTTTTAATAGTTTCGAATGTTGATGATGACGTTTATCTTCATCACTGCTAATGTAATGAACTTTTGGCGGTTCATGAAGTATTTCAACTTCATCGTCGGCATTTTTGCGTTCATCGGTGTTGCGTTCATCGTGTCGATTGCGACGCTTGCTTTTCTTGTGCTTTTTTTGTTTTTTACGTTTTACCACTTCCTCTTCACTTGAACTGTTTTGGCTGCTTTCGCTGCTTGTGCTACTGTCGTTATCCGATTCGGACGGCGAATGCTTCCTCTTCGATCGATGCTTCTTGCCCTTTTTCGACGACTTCTTTCGATGACGCTTTTTCTGCTCCACAATCTGTTCATCTTCTTCCGATCTTGAGTAGTACAAAAAAGCCAGCAAAAAATACATCAAAATTATCGATGCAGCTATGACAACATCAAATCAAACTACAAATATTGATTTTTGGTTACTTACACAATTGAATGACTGCTGACTTGTTCGTCACTGTCAAACCCTTTCCGTTCGTCGGATCGGTGATGAGACTTTTTGGTTTTCGGCATAGTGTGTTCCTTAGATGAAATTACGTGCACGGTACGGTATAGTTTGTTTGTTCTTCTTTAAGGCGATATGATATAGATTCGGTGAATAAAACACAATACGTTCGGTCAAACAACAATTTGTAAACGTTTAAAATGCAATTGAATTTATTTTGATGGATACAAGAATGGAAAAATGTGTAAACTAATTTTACACTTAACAATCGGCTTTTCGCATTGAAAAGGCTGACTGATGTTGAATCTCTCGTTTTCACTCTACGTTTCCAATCAACGGCAAATGTCAAATCACAGTTTGTCATTGAATCGGTGGTGGCGCATCAAACACGTTTGGATTCGCTGTCAAAATTTTGGAGAAAACCAATCACTTTACGCTAGATGGCGTTATGTATGGAAATCGAACTATTATCTATTTTGCATATTTCATATTTAATAAGAAAAAAAAAATAACATGTTTTATTTTTCATTTTAAGTAAAAGGTTTTATTTGTCGTTTCGTCGGACAATATGATTTTTTTTATCATTTCTCAAATAAAAAAGCGCATAATTTTTTTACACATTCAATGCTACAAATTTCGATTTTGTTTTGCATTAGATTAGTTATTTTGATTAAAATATAGTTTTGACTTAGTTCTTGAACACATATAGCTCAAGAGTTTTGTTTTAGTTTCGTGGAAACTTTCTTTTTAAAAGCTTGCTTATGAGTGGTAACCATTCTACTTTGGTGCATAAAATAAGCCGTTATGTCGCATTCCGTTTACATAACATTGATTCAGTAAAACGACCATGATGCGATAATCAATAAAACCACGCAAACCAGCTGAGTGAATAGATTCGTTGTCGTCCGTGCACTGTCTGAGTAAATCGTTTTCCCTGCAATGAAAGTAAAATTTTGGCAGTTAGAATCATGTGACATAAGCAACAGAGAAAACTCATAAGCCATAAAATCTTATTACTTCTAGAGAGTTTTCTCTTCATCTTTTTCTTTTTTTTGTTTTGTTCGGATGTTCTTTCACTTTCATTGCTCTCGGTCGTTAATTTTTTTTCTGTATGACTAACAACTTATCGTTGTTTCACGCTACTTTTCTTTATAGACATAAATGTAAATAGACTATCTTAAAAAAATTATCATAATAAACGAAAAGAGTCTTTCTACTATGCAAAATGCATAACGATTTTTTGTAGTACTGTATATGGTTGCGATAAGAGGGTCGAGACCTCTTTCGATTTGAATAGTAGTAAATATTGATCTCAACAAAGTGAAAACACGACAAATCCAGGCGAAATCAGAATCTTTTCCCTATTCTTCGACAAATTTGAATAGAATCAATTTCTATATTTAGAGAAAAAGAGTTAAAGAGCAGTAGCGTGATTCGTTTTTCGTGGAAAATCTCTTGTGACATATTGTTTTTCTTTTAATTTGGAAATCCATGTGATAGTGGAATCGATGGGAGTAGTGAATCAATGTCTTGTATGACGTTTTTTGTATAAATAGTTCTTTTTTTGAGAAATAAAAAACTTACATCGTTTGGCAAGCACATGATCACAGCAACATTCACGAACTTCGGTGTAATTAATGCAGGAACCAATGCTTGGCGTGCAATACATTCCAACATAGCATGAATGCGGAATCCATGGAATTTGCTCTATTTTGACATAAAATACAAAATCATTAGAAATAAACTGGTTTTTTTTAAATATTCGACATTATTTCATATAAGTGTTTGTGTATGGTATATTTTTGGATTTAATTTAATATATTTTTGATGATCAAAAACTTGAAAACAATAAATAGCCAATTTGGTCACACTTGTATACACAGCTTGTAATTATCATCCTCATTTCTTGTCATTAATTTCAATGAAAAAAAAAACACAAAACGAAATGAAAATAAAGAATCATCGACACAATAGAGACTCCCATATACCATGCGAAACGTACAACTACCTCGCACATGCACACACACACACACACACACACACACACAGTGCAGGTAGATTAAAGTGGCTCCACATTGCATACATGCAACCATTTAATAAACGCTCATTTTGTTAGTTGACAATATTGTTGCGTTCAGCAAATTGTTTTGGCCACTTTTCGGTTAAATGGCCAAATAACAATGAACATTAAGTGAATGAGAGTTACTGCGCGATTTTGCTACATGTGAACCGCTCACATTCTTATTTAAATATTAAAAAAAAGAATAACTTTTGCAACGAAATGACAAATGAGCGAGCAAAGAGACGCATATAATCGAGAAAAAAAACAAAATGTTGAGTAACATACAATCGCTGCACCAAATGAATGGAAATAATGTAAACACAACAAATCACAAAATATTTTGTTGAATTCAACTTAAAAACCTACTGACAGACTAAGAACATATAGTACTCAAAATCTGGGTGAATTCCATTATGCAAATTTATTTATTTTTTATTAAGAAGAAAACTACTGGCGCGTAAATAGCGTCACAGATCGATTTCCATGTCGATTAACATCACATATGTGCAGATAGATGTGAGTTTTCAACGATGATGATCAAATACTCGAAATGCTATTATTTTTCCTATATCCATAGCTTCGAATTCGAATTGATATATCGATTTCCATTGATTCTTTATTAAGCGATGTAATTTATGGGTGCAACCGAGTGTTTCAAAATCTCACTGTCTTTTCTATTTACTTGAGGTAAGTCAATAATCACAACTAATTAAATGGAAACTGAGCTTTGAGGTCAGGAAATGTGAGATTGAAAGAAAAAATCAATGTCCCATCTTAAATTAAGTGATAGTTTTTGGGTACGACGAATGGTGTTTACTCGTCTTTTACATTTCGTTTAGCAAAACGAAAATAAAATAATTATTATTTGGCCAACAAGTGCTAATTAAAAACTGTCCGAAAACAATAATAAAGAAAAATAACAAAAAAGAGAATAAAAACCCAAATCATCCCAGATTGAGTATCTAGTGTAATTGCAATTATTTTTTTTTTGTTATTTGGATTTTTAACTTTTGCTTTGTTTTTATGCACATGATAATGATATGTGTTATTTAAAAACGTGAGCTTACATCAATTACTAATAGAGTGAGGGTTACATTGACAAATAAATTAGATGAATTGGATTTTTTGGTATTGGACATTCGAAAATTAATCTGACAAATTACAGTTTTTTTTTTTTGCTAAGAACTCTCGTTTTTGTTAAACTTTGATTGGACTCCCAGTTTGGATTGTCTTGAAATTTGGTTGGGACCTACCACTGTTTTGTGACTTCTTTCGATATCTACGATGTAAAATTATTTACGATGAGAAATCAATGGTTGTGCCATCAAATGTCAAACTAATGCTACTGAATTGCTTCATAAACACTGTTATATTCACCAGTGTTCAAAACTTGAATGCTAATGAGAATTGTCTATATAAAACATTTAATACGGAATTACTAATCAATAGGCTAAACTTGATGTGCAAATTGAAATCATCACAACCATTTGATGAAAATCGATTTGAACATTGTTTTAACACCACACAGTGTGCATAGCACTTCAGACAATTTAATCAATACATTTAATCGAATCGCTGAATAATAATTAGTATTCTTGGGAGCGTTTCACTTTTTTCTATTGGATCAGAATCGAATAAAGGTAGAAAAATGCATTTGGATTTGTCTCTTTTGTTATTATTCAAAACGCTAACGATAGCTTCTCGAATACCATTCAATCATTACGCGATTTCATTTGATTTCATGACTCACTCGAGATGCATAGGAAATGCAGACACAATTGCACAGAGAGTCACTTCAAATCGTTGACACGTTTTGTTTCGTTTACAAGAATTCTTGATTTAGATTTCATTCCATTCACTTCACTGAAAATAGAATTCTCAAATCGGTTACCTTGTCCGTGTCTCGAATCACAGCAACAATGATCGTCCAGCATTTTACCACTTAGGCAATAGTTATTGATGTAGTCAGTACACTTCATGCACCAGGTCGGCACTGGCTTTTCTGTAAAAGAAACAATCACATATCGCTTTAAAAAAAAATGCAATTCTTTTCATTATTCTATAGGCAATACACGCACCATCCAATAATTTAATGCCAACTTCGAAGAAGCTTCGTTTTGCATCGCCTTGACTAATATTGTGTTCAATGAAATATTCGACCACCTCTTGCACTCCTTTCACCGATGCATTTTGTTTAGCTATTGGATCCAATGTATTGGAGATGATTCGATCGCTGCGCGTAAATACATTCGGCATATATAGGGTAAAAACTAGAGCTATTATCACAAAAACATTTTTTCTAAAATGATCGATTTGGCTTGAAAACAGCATTGCGTTTGCTGTTTCGTTCGATTTCACTCCACCAGATATTGATTTCCTTCTTTTGTTTTTCTTTCAATTTTCGTTTTTTTTTTTGGTTTTTCTTTACATTGATTTTCACACCACAAGTATTTGAACACTGATTGATGTCGGTTTGACCGATCGATTTGACGTTAGTCGATATTTCATCGCCAAGAAAAAAAATCTCTCACATCCGATTTGTGCTATTATTATTTATGGTGAAAAAAGAGAAGAAAAATTTTTACAATAATTATCAATCGATTAATTCAATCATAAATAAAACGGCGCGGGATGACGATGTTCATAATTTTGTGTGTGTGCCTTACTCGAGCGCGGATCTTAATGAACTGTTTATGCTTGGTATTAAATATTAACATGTTGCCGCTACACTCAACTACACCGTATGTACAGTAGTATACATACATAGGCAAACCAATATGCATGCGTCTCTGTCGCGCTTCACTGCAATGTATACAAATCGAAACGAATTACAGCTACAACGGGTGCCGATTGAAACATAAAGAGAATTTGAAAAAAAAAAATGAATATTCCGAATTTGATGTGTCGGCTACCGACTACCGAGATAAAGAAAAGAGTAAATGAATGAGTGAATACATTTGCGTGCTATTGTTTATGTCACGTATAGTGCGAGAACGCATCTTTTTATGGACTTCTGAATTTGATATAAATTTCATAATCCATTAAATGGGCTGACATAGCGCGGATGACACATTCTTAATTTGTATTGTAGATATTTTGGAGGAAGTGCACTTTTTTCATCTTGCTAACTTGGCACAAATATATATACTAGTTCTTTCAACAGATCTTGGTCAACAATGCCAGTTTTTATACAAGGAATGTTCAGAAATTTCGGGTCTCCAGTCAAAATGAATGCCTGTGAATGAAATTCATTACGACAATTCTTTGCTTTGTGCCTGTTTCTTGAGTATTTTGAAAAATGGACACTTTGGCCATGTGTAGATTGATTTTTCGGTTTCAAAATATTGTTTTTGACTTAAAATTATGGTATGGCCATAAATTAAACCGCGTCCATTAGGCGGAATGGTGAACACACAAACACTTGAGAAAAACAGATCGAGACCAATTAAAAAAAAAAGTCCATAAGAAAAGAGGTATTTTGGGCATTTTCGCTCCAATACAAAGTCAACTGTTTGTAGTGCGTGCTAGCGCGTGTCTCGCATATGATTTTGTATTTGATCCACATTTTCCAATCGCAATAATTTATTTATAGACAGCTCTGACGAAAAACCAGCGGAAAACATCAAAATTTGAAATCAAAAACCGGTCGAGACGCATAAGTGCGAAAAACGATTTTGAAAGAAGAATAACTAGGACGGTAGTTTTGAATTTATAGACTACATATATTCATTTTCATTTTCATAATTTTCCCATTTGAAAATCATCAAGTTGTGTATTTCATATGTTAATCATCACCATGTCACCGCCTATGTTCGTACTGTGGAATTCTAATTGAATTTTTTTTCTATAAAGATTATAAAAATAGTTAAAAAACAAGAAAAATTCAAAATATCTCTATGAAGTGTGTGTCCGAGTAAATAAAAGTTTCAGTAAATCAAAAGATGATTTTTTTCTTTAATCTTTTGATTATATATAAAATGTAAACAGCCGAAAGGCTTCAAATGAGAGGTAATTTTGCTGACGATATAGTCATTAATTATGTCGAAGGAATTTTGGTTTATGTAAATTCGTAGTTCATAAAGTGGTCGGAATGAAATTATAAATCGATATACAGTTCATCATGCCACGTTGTTTTATGTCCAATTTGCAATTTTCAAGTAAACGGGAACTCATCAAAAAAAATTAACTGCACCTATTTTTAGCTCTCTCTTTCTCTCATTAATGGTGCGTGCGTGCGTGCAAGTTAAGGAAAAATTATGCCTGACGTATGTTTGTATAAGTACTGAATAAAAAAGAAAAACGCATTCGAAGGGTTTGTCCAATCTCAATTACAGGAAATGTGAGTCATGGCGATGACCATACGTTCGTCATTTTGTTTTTCATTGAAAATTAGATTAGGAGTCGTAAAAATGTTTTCAGCTGATTTTATATTCAATCAAAAGTGAAATAAATCCAGCAGAAATCATATAAAACCGAATTGGGCCAAAACGAAGCATAAACATAGTCAGTATATGTATATATAAGACGAATTCACAGAAATCAAATGTGGTTTTTTTTTCGCCAGAATTATTCTTTATACAAACAAAATGATAACGCTTCGATTTTATTTAGAATTTCGATATTCTTGAAATGTAAACAAATAAAAACGAAAAAACAACAATCGAAATTTGCAGAGTAAATAAAAATGAGCAAGTTTGAGTACAAGGTAAGATATTCACTTAAAATTGTCGATAATTGATTTTTGCGGTTTATTTCGATGTTTATGTCGGTGTTATTAGATTTCATATATTTCTCATAATGGCGAATCTAATTTTGAAAACAACAAAAGACAGCATAAATTGTCGATTCGTTCGGCGCACTGATATTGATGTTAAATCAATTTAATTTTGCTTTACACACTTTTTCGGCACAATCACATTACACAAAAATATAAAATTACCAACCACTTTATTCGATGTAGTCCGAATCGTCAGTGAACTGATTTTTTTAAAAATACAAAAAAATACCGTCATTCGCCAATAAACATTTTTCAATATGTTATAAAAAAACAAGTAAAAATCTGTCAACACTTGAAAATATTTCTCTTATTGAGTTTCATCAGAGTTGCCACTCTTTTTCATTCCACACGCACACCGTATTGTCACCGAATGCAAAATGAATGATTACGTTAAAGATGTGCACGATAGAGATTTCAGTTCAAAGAATAGAAACACAAATTCAACGCAGACACACCGATTTCTATTGTTATGTATATACTACGTCTTAGCGAATTGTGTATGTATGTAGCAAAACCCCCTTTGTGCTTGTTGTGGTCGTTGTCGCTCTTAGAAATACGCATAAAATATGCGACAAGTTTTGGAAATGCGTTTCATGGATAATAGTGTGCGTGCGCGCAGAATAGAAGAAGCCATAGCAACCGTCAAAACAGGAACACAGTTCTACGCTACGCTCATACCATGTGCTACTACTGCCATACAATTATTTTTTGTATACATTCACATTCACACACAAGCTCATTGTGTGCTTCAAAACTCTAACTTACATTACGAATATTATTTGGAACTCGCTTGCAATTTAATACATGCGCAATAGCAAGATTTCATCTTTTTTTTATTGCCGCCGTGCGGATTCCAAATATGCGTTTACTAGTAGTGTGTTTGAGGCGATGTGGTGCTTTGCATTCATAGTCAAATGTATTTATTTTTGCTCGTATGGCGACCGTTGGAAAGGATCTTAGCAACAGCTGGCTACCTGTGGACATGGCATGTTTTATAGTTCAATTTGCCTTTTAACTGCTTTGATGAAATTAAAACAATTTTGAAATTATCTATAAACTAGACTTGGTTTTATGTTGATTTTAACTATTTTCTATTAAAAAAATGTATAAAGAGGAATATACATTGAAATCTAGATTGAAATACGTTGCCACTGAATAAATTGAGTATACGGTAACTCTAACGGTATTTTTTTTATGAAGACGAACATCAAAATAGTAATTGCATACACGTTTTAAAGGTTCATTGACCTCAATTTCTATTCTATTCATAGAATTCAATTTAATCCCTGTTCAATGCACCCTATTGCATGTGTGATGCACACCGATATTTTCGGTACACAGGTAACAAACAATATTGAAATGCATCTTAAAGCACATTTTTCTAATTGGAAGCTATTGTTCTGTTGTCTGAACTTATAAATATGTTTTCATTATTATTTATTCAAAATAATCCAAAATTCAATTGGAAACAAATATTTTTTTTATTTTCTCAAAAATGTCTGAAAATACCATTGGATGTAATCGCATTGAGACACGTATATATTGTAAGATAACCTTCTCACAATCAGATCACACATTATCAAACAGAATATTTTCGAGTTTGTATTCAATCGGAGTCCCATTTCGAATTAAAAAAGTACCCTTTATCTATTGCAACCAGTTACAGTACAAAGTAAATGAAACCCAATATCCAATCCATTACCGTCCCTCCATCTATTGAGAATAATTGTAATTATTATTCCATTTGGATAGTGTGTAGAATCTTCATATGTCAAAAATTATCGTAGTCACTGAAAATATTTGCGCTGATACCAAATGACAGAATCAGTAGAATTCTATGAAAAAGATAATATTTTCAGAAACTATTCCGGCATTTTTGAGTAAATTATCCTTTAAAATGCCTTTTAAAAGAGATTATGCGAAGATTTTATCACCAAAAATCATAAAGTGTTGCTAGAAATCGACGCGCACTTGACCATCTAACGAATGAATGATTTGAAAAGTTGTCAGAACAGGAGTAAATGTAGTGTCTCATTTACTCGTTTTACTCAGACACATGCACTGTGCACAATTTTATATGTTTGTCATGTGTGCTCTTTCTCGTTCTGTCCTTCTCCCGTTTCTTTATATCTCTGTGTTTCTTGCCTTGTCAATTTCCTCTTCTTCTTCATAAATCTACGGTTTTTACGCTGTATCTTTGTGTTCGCACAGCTAGTTCAATTCATATATATATTTTCTTCTTCTTTTTCTGTCTCTCTTTTCGCTTCTATTTTCGGTGTGTGTTCTTACTTAACCATTATCGTGTTGTGTATGCATTTTCTGTTGTTGTGGACGTGTTTTTTTCCTCTCGTTGGTGTGCCCGAGAACGTTGTGTCATAATATAATTTTCTTTTTGTTTTTATTTTAATTTCCATCATTTTATCGACTAATTTGTTCTTCATTTTAAAACAATCGATTCGATTTTGCTGATTCGCAAATTACATCGACGATTGATTCACATATATTTCAACTCTCGAATTGCTAATTTTTCCCAATGGGCAATATAGTTTGTTTAGTGTTTTCATGTTACCTCATTCTTGACTGAAAAAAAAAACAAAGAATAAAAAAACAGCACGGAAGTCAATTGGATTTGTTTTCCTTTATTCTTTTTTCGGACACCATTCATTTGTTCCAAGTGACAAAAAGTGAAATTTTGTGCAAAGTGAAAAAGTGAAATTCGAACGAGAATACGACAACGACGACGACCAAAAAAAACTTCAACTTGTTTCGAAGGTGAGAGATTTTTTTCGTTTATTGCAATAGGAAAAGAATTTATAATGAGTTTTTGTGTGAATTTTATCAGTGAAAGCGAATTCATGTGCATAGCATACTGAATTTAGTCGACATACTTGTTTTTGTTTTTTCACAATTAGAATCTCTTGAGAATTTGTATTCAGTTCATAAAATATTGAAATTCTTAATGGGTTTGTTTTTTTAGCACACATGCATGATGTTTTGCTCATCGAATGGAGTCTTTACTGTCATACATATGTGTGTGTGTATTTGACGAGCCTCAATGGGCCTACGCTTGTATGGGCATTTCTGTGTGTTGTGTTGTGTTGTATACGATGATAAAAGGAATTTTAAATGAAAAAGAAAATGTTTGTTGATTCTGTAATCTATTGCAAAATTCTTATTTACATTCTCTTGTCTTTTCAATGTTTGGCTTTGTCTTTTTATAGTGTCATATTTCGGCATTTTCTCTCCTTCTTTTTCTTTGTTGTTTTTTTCATTCAATGCATTGAATCACGTACAATTAAATTGATAACGCAAATCTCTCTTGATTTTCTCTTCTATTCGTTTTGCTTTTTTTCTACCTCATTCTACTGTTTTTATTCAAAGAATTTGCATTTCAATTCATGTACAGTTTGCTTTAGTTTCAAGAACAAAAATCTGATAAAATGTCATCTTTATCTAATATGAAAAAAAAAACGGAGTTATAGCCAAACATGTATAACACATATCGTTCGTTGGCACCATCATCCTTTTTGTTTTTCTTTTTTTTTTGTTATTTGTATTGAAAAGGGTATGAAATGTCATAATATCAACGAATATTTGGCTCTCGCACAGTATCTTATATAATGCACACAAAATAAGCGCTGTGTTGTCTTTATATATTAATTTCACTCAATCGGAATTTGTTGTTTTTGCTATTTGCCGCAACGTCGACAGTCAAAAAAAGTCAGGACCTTTGTATTTTTATAGGCACCAACTCAACCATCAACCCAAATCATGTTTTTTTTTATTGTTTAAAAAAAATATAATCTTTAATTTACGAAAAGGAGTCGATGATCGAATTAAAAACATTTTTCGGTGCGCGTCAGAGAACAAAACAAAGAATAAAATAAATTTTGATTGGAGACGTGAAACAAAATCAAATGGAAGGAATGCTGTAAATGTATTGCAATACGATTCACAACAAAAAAAAAACATTCATATATACCATGTATAAAATAGCCTCGCGCGCGAGAGACTAGTGCACAAAATATATTTTCGTAGGGTAGGTCCGATTCCACAACGAACTAAGCACACTAAGCGATGACATTCACATAGAGAAATATTATATTCAATGCTCGTTCGACTCTTGCAGTCGCTCTCACAAATTAGATATTAGAGTCCAATACCATGACACACAAGCGCGTTGTGTATAGTTGCTTGTACATGAATCTCATCGCTTCTATTTCTAATTTAAAATTTATTTATTCTTTCACGTCTTCGGCGGTAGCGAAAAGAGTATGATAAATCGCTAGAGAATTTTCCGCTTTACTAGCGCATCGTGCAAACACACAATAACAAAAAAATCGCTTTTTTACGATTCACAGCAAGGGAACAAGCAATTGACGGTTGTTGTTTTGTTCGTCGTCACTTTTCAATTTCTTTTTTTTTTGTTTTTCTATTGAAACTGAAAACTACATGTGATGGCAAACAAAAGGTACCATTCGATCTTTGCATGTGTCTTTGTGAATTCAATGTATTCGTCATTCTTGCCAGAAAATATTGTCAGAATCACCGCAGATTCTTGCAAAACTTCACCACTGCAAGCCATACTTATAAATACACCGCATCGAGTCTTTGTATGCTGACGTAAATTACTCTTCAATAAAAGCAAACCGACAATAGAATTTATACACAATGATCTTTTGCCAATGCTTTTTTTCTTCATTGCTTACGCAATACATGCTTTTTTTTCCACTGCGTTTAGATAGTCAGACTATTTATATGAATATATTTCTGTTTGTTGCTTATTTTCGCCACTTGGTTAATAATTTCGGTTTAAATTACAGTGGAAATGACAAAACACTAGTTTTTGGTGACACCGAGTCTGTTGTCATATTTGAAACGATGCGACAATCACGATGTTTACACAAAATGAAGTCAAATGAGACTCTGACTGGTTTGTTCTGTTTTTGCATCCCATAAACTATAGTCGCATGTCAATGAGCTGCTTCATGAATATTTTGTCAAATATTTAACCATAACAACAAATGTGAATTCTGGTAAAATTCAATTGGTTTTGGTACAATAAGTACAGCAGTTGAAGTATTTTCTATCAATTTGATGCATGAAAAATGATAGAAACTCGTCAAAAAGTACATAAATTTCGAATCAAAACTTTTATAGGTTTTATTTTTATGATTATATACCAACTATTGAAAAAAAAAACACAAATGAATGCGAAACATTGGTAACATTCCATTGCAAAAACTTCTCTGGATCCTCTTCGACATATAAATTTGTCGATCTTTATTTTTCATAACAATGTTAATTCTTTCGAATATGAATCTCACAAAAGTGTGATAATTGGATGAGAGAAAGAGAGAGAGCTGAGTAACCGAAAATGCGCG